GCTGTGGACCAATCCGTTTCAAAGACAATGCATAAATTATCAGAGTATTGTTTTTTGTTTGCATTTGACTGCAAGTATTGTGGCTAATGTAAGTATGATTCCTTGCAAAAGGTGTCAGTTTTGTTGCCAGAAAAAATGGGAAACCCCATATTAGAATATTCAGACGTTTTAACTTCTAAAATGCGGGTGAGAAGGTCATGGGGTTGGAGGGTTTGTCTATCCAAATGATAGCGAACGAAGTTTCAGATCGATTATTTATTGACGTCATATAATGATGTTTGAGACAAACATGTTTCACATCTAGGAACACACAGGGAAATGACAGTATACAGCCTACAGACGAACACGCGTACATAGTGTGTAGGGCATCTCAAACTCCCGTTCTTGCGACCCACCGCGGATTCGTATTCTAACGTTTACCAGTCCTCTCAACATTAAATTGCAAATTACACAGGTACAGCCTGCACGGCATGATAGTTAGTTACAATGCAGGATCTTATTTTGAATCTCTATCTCGTCGGACACATAAGCACTACATTAGTCCATGCGACTTGTCGGTACCACCTCAGGTGCCATTACTTTAGCTACAAGGCCAGTAACATTGAATTATGTAAGAACTACAGTACTTGAAATGAGTGAGCTATCAAAGAATGTACCCGTATTAGCAAACAAATTAGTGCTGCTAAATTTTGCTACCTTAGAGGTGGCAACAATTTATGCTCGGGCCCATGGACCAACATCCGCGAACACGCGTTTCCGTCTAGGTCACGTGGCACGCGTGACAATGATCAGACACGTGCAGCGCGTAACGACTTCATTGGCATTTGAAATGAGACGATTGACTCTGATTGCAGTTTAGGAAATCCTAAAATGTCCAGTGGCATTTATAACCTTTTGCCAGGGCAGCTCTTTCGCCCACTTCAGCAAATTTTTTCTTGCTGTGGTTGTCCCACCTGATGGCGGACGCTTGTGTTGCGCCCGAAACGTCGTGATTTAATTTATTTTATTTCTACCCACGTGACTTTACCGAAAGAACCAAAGAGTATAGATTCCTGCAGTCACGAAAGCTTCAAATCAAGAATGTCCAGTGGCGGTTCATGGTGTTCAAATCTCACGTGACGCGTGCTGGTGTACTCGTTGATGGATGAAACTCGAAAGTAGCGAGCGATTATGATGATCATTCTAAAGATGACGATGCAAAATGTTAATGCTGCTGCTGCTGATAACAATCATGGGCTTCCACTGACCAGTCCTCCTGGGAAGCTGCCGTAGGCTGCGTTGTTGCCGTCTGGTGGAGAATGTGCTGATGATGATGAAGCCATTGTCAGCGTGTTCCAGTGTCTCAATGGGTCTGTATTCGAGTCTTTGGGTCTTTACATACGTTTAAGAGTAATTTTTCGTGTCCATGGTTTTCTACGTGAAAAGCCACCTGCCAACGCAATTCCTGTTTAGCAGTAAATCCACCTTTTTTTACGCCTTATCACCAAAATAGTAATATTATCCCAGCCACTGCAACGTGAAGAATTCCCCATGTCGTCACTGCCATTTGCGGTCATGCTGACGTCACAATAGAGTGCTTTCGTGCACTTGAGCAGGATCTCATCGCTCCATCTCCACGGTGGTCGTCCTCTCGGGCACCGTCGATCTCGTTTAAGGTTGGCCTACACTTGTTTATACAATTGGCAATTATAAACGAAGCGTGTTTTAGACATCGTGTGTTGGTGAAAACTGGAACTCATTTGTGAAGTGTTCTTGCGGCATTTTCCCAGTTTTAAGACAGTTTTGCAACGTAAACTTGACAAAAGCGCAGCACAAACACGGCACAGCAGCAATGATACATTTAAACTTGTAACGCGCGCAGTACTCGTTCAGTCTTGAATACAGGGAACGACTCAGAGGCTGCGAGGAATCAAAGAAAATGCGCTATAGAGCTCTGCTTTTCAGCAGCAACCTGACCACAAATAATACATCAACCAAGTGGCTTATCATGTGGAAATGTATAGCAGCCAAATACTCAACGCATGGTGCTGAATTAATGTTTCGATAGACCGGGGGAAAGAGTCGTTCGCAGCGATTACGGCTCACGGAAGCGCGCACGTGGTGATGCCCGAGACACGCACGCCAGGCCGAATGTCTCCTCGACAATGTGTCGGCCTGTGCGGGAGATTTAGGTTAGAAATAATATTTGCAGTAATTTTCTGACCACGCTGGTCATCGAGGGTTGGTGAAGGGGTTCGGGGTGGGGGGGTGCAGGAGCGTTTCGTATATCACTCGCCATTGATGTTAGTCGTGGCTGGCAATCGAACTGAGGTTTACGGGTTCTTAGCGCAGTGAGATAACTACTGCTCCACCGCCCCATGCATCCACGAATCGTAAGTTGACGCGCAGCTTCGCATGGGAGCCGCGCGTGGTTTCACGGGAGCACATTGCTTAGACCCGCAGTAGACACGTAACAACGCCCGAGTCATCGACTCAATATATGATTCGGCTAACCATACGTTCTTCAAATCGACCGTGTATCAACGATTTACGATGTGTGCCAATTGTGTGCAAGTGACGTGGATATCTTCTTCTTGGTTCTTTCGGTAATGTCACGTAGAAGAGAAATCATAAAATAATAATAAATAAAACATAAAATACAATTCTCACGACGTTTCGACCACAACGCAAGCAGCCGTCCTCAGGTGAAGAACATGTCTATCGGAAAGATTTTACCGAAAGAACCAAGAAGATGAATTCCTGCAGTCACGAAAGCTTTAAATCGAAATTTGACGTAGATATGTTCCATGTAGAGTCGAGGAGCGCAATCCAAACGGGACTCGATATAGCGGCACGCAACCAGAAGTGCAGAGCAAACGAGACGGACATTAATAAAAACGCACTCACTACATTATGGACAGTAGTAATGTAAAGCATGTATTTATCTAAACGGAAAAAAATCGTGCATACGCATGGATCTGGTAACGCTTCCCAAAGCGCGTTTGTCCTGGGAAGTGTTTAATCAGCGACCACGGTCGCGCTCGTGGCAGGGGCGCAGGGAGTGCTATGAAGAAGGGTCATTGCTCGAAACGTCGCCGACTATATCAATACTTTTTTCGTTTAATGCCACGGTGTTGTTGACGAGTGTGTTCGCCCCTGGGCTGTAGCGCTGACCGGGAAAATCCGAGGCGGGGTCCTTCTACCTCTGGTTTTGTTTCAAAGTTTTGGGTAGAGGCCGACCGTAACAGAATTTCTGGTTTCGGCCGAAAACGAAACGAGAAACCGAAAGTTAAAATTTGACTTTCTGCCGAAACCGAAATTATGTCGAAAGAGGCCATTTGACAACTTTCGGCGACGAAACCGAATTTCCGTCGGCCTCTAGTCTTGGGTACCCTCTTTGATCAACGTGGCCGGTTTTCTACAGCGTGGGTGAGAGTCTCTGAAAGCAACGCGACTCTGTTACCCTTTAGTTTCCTTCATATTGTCCTCACTTCCCCGTTACAAAGCTAATTGCGGACCCATTTTCAACATTCATTGGAAAAATGTACAAAAAAAATCTATTCGTGAATAGAACAGTAACTCGAATCGTGGGCGGTGAATCTTCCCATGGCTAACCTCTTATGCTAACGTTCTCCATAAGCGGTCTGATGACGACCGCTTATGTTGCGATCGAAACGTAGTTTTTTGTTATTTTCTTTGAACCTATCTACGTGACTTTACCGAAAGACCCAAAGAATATGAATTCCTGCGGTCACAAAAGCTTTAAGTCAATATCTAAACATGCAGTACCATGTACACGCAGACACGTGCACCCGTTGCAAATATCGGAGTAACCCGTGTCATTCAAAGCCACGTTACTTTCAAGACAAATTATACCTATACGGCCTGGTACCCCCTCCCCTCCTTACACTCACACACAGCGGCTTTTACAAAACGACAGCAGTGTGTGTGTGCGTGAGTGCGGCCCGAAGTGCGCCACGGAATTTGTGTCACGATTTCCTCTGCGTCGCGTCGCGCGCTATTGCAGGGAACACAGGCGTCGACTTTGTCGGTTTACCGCACCGGACAGCCCCCCACCTTTCCCCTACCCCCCCCCCCCCACTCCATTCGCACTTCAGTTAAGCACAACAACAGAATATGCCGCACGTCGCTTTCGACGCGCATGATTCCTCTAGAATCGCCGAGACGTGTTTCGTTTGCGAGTATTCGGCGTGAGTGGCGGGTTTTAACGGGCGTGGTTAATGCTGGCTTCATACTCTTAGGTTTTTTCGGTAAAGTCACGTAGGGAAAACAATAATAAAATAACTAAATTAATGATAATAACTAAATTAAATCACGACGTTTCGGAGGCAACACAAGTCTCCGTCTTCAGGTGGGACCGTCACAGAGACGGTGACTTGCGTTGCCTCCGAAACGTCGTGATTTAATTTAGTTATTTTAATTGATTATTATTTTTATTTATTATTATTTTTTACCGAAAAACCCTAAGAGTATGAATCCTTGCAGTCACGAAAGCTTCAAATCTAGAATTAATGCTAGCTTGCTGTCAACCCGTGCCACACTGCGAGCTATCGAAAACGTTCTGCGTCTACTGCGGCATCACGATAACAACAACAATGCAACAGCCTCTTGTCCCGTCAGTCTGATTCTCGCGCCACGCCTCGTCACGTCGACCACTTTTCTCCCCTCCGTTCAGGTTCAACACTCTAGTTGTGTTCTTGGTTCTTTCGGTAAAGTCACGTAGAAGGGAAATAATAAAAATAATAAAACATAATTTAAAAAAAATTCTCACGACGTTTCGGCCACAACGCAAGCAGCCGTCCTCAGGTGAAGAACAGGTCTGTCGGAAAGACAGCGTCCGAATGAACACCACCAGGCTTGGCAGCGTATATTTAAGCTGTGTTAGAGGAGGAAGAGTGCCTTGACAAATGCATTTGCATATCAACAGATGAATTTAGCATATTTATGGAAAATGCAGATACGGGATTAGTTCTTTCTGGTGTTCATTCAGACGCTGTCTTTCCGACAGACCTGTTCTTCACCTGAGGACGGCTGCTTGCGTTGTGGCCGAAACGTCGTGAGAATTGTATTTTATTACGTTTTATTTTTATTATTTCCCTTCTACGTGACTTTACCGAAAGAACCAAGAAGATGAATCCCTGCAGTCACGAAAGCTTTAAATCGAAACTCAAGTTGTGATCTACACGCTGCCCGTACCCGATGATGGGTACACGGTAAACTGGTCCCACGTGCGACAGAACATGTGCGCAAGTGGAGGTCGCGGTCGTGGCTGGGCGCGGGCTCGGAAGGGAGCGTCAGAACCGCAGCGAGCGGCGAATCGTCGCTTAAACAAAGACAAAGATCCCCCGTATAGCCTTCACAGACTCTTGGGGCAAGTGCCGTTGGCGAGCATCTATCGCTTAGGCTACATTACCGCATTAAAGCCCGATTAATACAACCGATTTAAATGGGTGTCATTGCGCGTTTCATACACAATTTGAACAATTTTCATTGTCCCTACGAGTTTATACTTGTGAATTAAAACGTCAAAGTATAATATATGCAATATCTGCAAATGTAAGAGAGAACATTTATACGGCTGCAATAAATAAAATGCTTTAATAAATTATACTTTGTTTAAAAAAAAACGAAAAGAACGTTTCTGACTTAAATAAATAAATAATGATGATATTACACAAACGATCTGCAACGGCGCATTTAAACCTGGGGCTGCATGGAGGACAACCGATGAACATGTGCGATGATCCGTCAATAACGTGGTACCCGAGGACAACTTGAACGTTGTTCTCGAAGTCATTTTGAGCCACACAGGATAATGAAGTCGCCAGACAGCCGTACGGGCCGGTTCGGGGAGAGAATTCTGATAAAGCGATTCACATGGCGGGGTGTTTTTCTCTCTCTCATTCTATGCTTCTTTATAGATATCGGTGTTAGCTCGGTGATAGCCCAACGGAAAATGTTCGGTCGAAATTAATGCTTATTTGTTAATGATCGCATGTCTCGGGAACGTCCGTGTAAATGAAGAGTACAGTATTAGAGTGTCAGATGTATACTGTATGTGTCCTAAAAACAGCTCTTTTCTAATGCACTGGAGGGATGAGAGCCTCCCCACTAACAACGTTGTGGGTCGTGGATGTTAGCTGACCATACTTCACCACGCTGTTAGTGCAGTTTGGTGAAGGCGGGGAGCATAGACTTGGAAACATAGTACAGTACAACAATATGTTTTTACCACACTGCCGTCTGCCGACAGCGTAGCCCCGCACATCAGCAGCCTACGGTAATTGTTGAACACCTGGTGGTCACCCATCCAAGCGCTTTAGCGCCAGGATCAAAGCTGCTGAGCTCCTTGCTGAGATCTGGTTAATTTGGTCATAGGCAAGATGTATATACATACAGCACAGATTCTATTCTATAGATACTGCGGGGAGTGCAGTTGCACGTTTCTGCGAGATAAACGGAACACAAAACGTCTCAATATAATCCCAACACAAGATGAATAGCAGACCAAATGAAACCATAAATAATAGGCTGACGTTTCAGGCCATGTCCCCTTCTTCAGAGCAGAACGCTCGCAGGGCACCGCATTGTAAATGAAGTGTTATCTCATACTATAAGTCAGTATCTCTGTTCTAAAGCAGGGTTGTCGCCTGAAACGTCAGATTGCTGTGTATATATATAGAGGTGTTGATTAGGAACGTGATTCTTTTTGTTGGATTGTGCTTGGGAAACACTGCCAACTCAGTCCCTTAATATGTTTCGTTTCATATAAGTTTCGTATAAGTGCACGCTTTGCAATAAATTAATAGTAAATCGGAACACGCTTCCTGTAGTCGCGACAGCCTCTCCCAAGCGTGGCAGCAGAGGTCTCAGTTCTGCATCTCGAGTTCCCAGACTCTCTGCGGCCACCCCGTGCGACCACGGCTCCTGCGTTCTCCGCTCAGCTCCGCGTCGTCTCCATCCTGCTGGGCCCACGACACCAACAATGTGAGCCTTTCGACTGTTTACAACGAGCCATATAAATCCATGATGTGTCTTAGCTTGCCTCTATGAGCCTCCACTATTTACAATTATACATGTTAGAAATGTACTATAGGTGCCTTAGTATGACTCTGTAAGCCTGAGACTCGTATAGTCTGCGTCTGTGAGCCTCGGATATTAACACGGAACCGTAAGAATGCAAAATGTGCCATGTGCTCCGTGACCTTCAAGCATGAAGATCGAATCATATGCAGTGTCGACGTGTCTTTGTCTCTGCGAGCCTCTAACATTGGCACTGAACCCTGTGGATCGTACAAGTGTGTGCGTACAGGTGTGTGCGTGCGCGTGTGTGCGTGCGCGTGTGTGCAGGTGTGTGCGTGCGTGCGCGTGTGTGCGTGCAGGTATGTGCGTTCAAGTGTGTGCGTGCGCGTGCGTGCAGGTGTGTGCGTGCGCGTGTGGGCATGTAGGTGTATGCGCGTGTGTGCGTGCAGGTGTGTGCGTGCGCGTGCGTGCGTGCAGGCGTGCGCGTGCAGGTGTGTGCGTGCGTTGTGTGGGCGTGTAGGTGTATACGCGTGTGTGCGTGCAGGTGTGTGCGTGCGTGCAGGTGTGTGCGTGCAGGTTTGTGCGTGCGCGTGTGGGCATGTAGGTGTATACGCGTGTGTGCGTGCAGGTGTGTGCGTGCAGGTGTGTGCGTGCGTGTAGGTGTGTGCGTGCGTGCAGGTGTGTGCGTGCGTGTAGGTGTGTGCGTGCGTGCAGGTGTGTGCGTGCAGGTGTGTGCGTGCGGTGCGTGCAGGTGCGTGCGTGCAGGTGTGTGCGTGCGCGTGCGTGCAGGTGTGTGCGTGCGTGTGTGTGCGGGAACCTGACCGCTGTGCACGCCCCCGCGGGGTGGCCGTGCTCAGGGGTCTCAGAGGGGTCCCGGGCCAGGACCCCCATGAGGTGCGAGATGTAGCGTGCGGCGAGACGCAGCGTCTTGATCTTGGAGAGTTTCGTGTCGGCGGGGACGCTGGGGATGCGCTCCCTGCGACACGCGCGGTGAATAAAAACAAACGCACCCTGTGTCGCCTGTGGCAGACTGAAGGGGAAATATGCGTACGCATTTTGAACTTCTTTCACACAGTGCTGTTCGCAAGCACCAAGAAATCAAAGAATGTCGGTACGGCCCACGAGTGAGTGGTGTGACCAGAACCACCCCCGGCGCCATTATATACCCAATGCTGATGTTTTTACACTCCGCACCAGTTAGTAATTTAAGGCTGAGTCAACCTAGGGGAGGCCCAGGACCGGTTCAGATGTTCGTCACTTGATGTTGGCCAGTGAGCTTGAATCGAACTCGGGGCGCCGGGTTCGTTGCGACTACGCTGTGCTAACCACTACACCACCGCTCCCCAAAGTATATACTGCACTGTGCACACGTACGAAGTATGCACACGTATTTTTCTTGGTTCTTTCGGTAAAGTCACGTAGAAGGGAAATAATAAAATAATAAAAATAAAACATAATAAAATAATTCTCACGACGTTTCGGCCACAACGCAAGCTGCCGTCCTGACGGCTGCTGAGGACGGCTGCTTGCGTTGTGGCCGAAACGTCGTGAGAATTATTTTATTATGTTTTATTTTGATTATTATATTATTTCCCTTCTACGTGACTTTACCGAAAGAACCAAGAAGATGAATCCCTGCAGTCACGAAAGCTTTAAATTGAAATATATACACGTAAATATGCACAGTGTACATATGAACGTACGCACCTATATATACATGCTGTCTGCATTGAGTCAAGTCAAATAAAGACGGAAGTCTCAATGTGTGTGTGTGTGTGTACACGTGTTCCACGTAACGCAGACAGCGTTAATCTCTTAGCCCGTCACGTGGGACGTGTTTCACAATCATCGGGCGCGGAAAGTGTGGCGGGTGCTGACCGTGAGCGCAATGCGCTACGGATTCAGCAGTCTGAATTAAAATATAAACACAATTAATCTATAAACACGATTCAAAATATAAATACAATTAATATATAAACACTTCATGTATAAACATACTGCATACATAAACACAATGCATATATAAAGACACATATAAACACAAATTATATACATATACAATTCATATATAAATACACTTAATATATAAACACTTCATATATAAACGCAATGCATATATAAAGACACATATAAACACAATGTACAGGTATATACATATACAATTCATATACAAACAATTCATACATAAACAATTCATATACAAACAATGCATACATACACAATTATTACATAAACACTGCATATATAAACAATTCCCACATGAACACAATTCATATATATATAAACACAATTCATATGTAAACGCAATCGCTAATGTTATAACCAAAATTAGCGGAATTGTTCACCAAATGTTTACAGAGAAATTAAACCCGGCAATCGTGGGCTGATGCTTCAATCATCCCTATATTTAAAGAAAGCGATTACACCCGACTTGAAGGATTACAGATACTTCTTCATTCTCTAATCACCGGTCATGCATTGTTCACGAAGCGTATTAGAATCACGAACAAATTAGAGGCGAGCCGACCACGAGGGGAAGCAGGGTTTAGTAAAAAAATTAACCCGTGAAAACAAAGTTTTTCACTATAAATCCTTTATATGCGTGGCGGCTAGAGTCCTCTCGTCCTCTGGCTTGAGATGGCTGCCACCTATGGGTCAGATGATTGTCTGCCACCATTAAGCAATTGGTAATTAAATATTTAAAACAATTTCCCTAAACAGTGTAAAATTTTGGAAAAAAAATTCACGAAAATTAACTGTCACGCACAACGAGTCTGTGTGCAAAATGTCAGCTCGATTGGATCACGGGAAGTGAGTTAAAACATGACCGAAAGATCTGCACGGTCGTAAGCAAGCAAGCAAGCACGCAAGCAAGCAAACAAGTGAACTTAATATAAAGGATTTAAAAAAGGTTTCCCTACCATCAAAGATATAGATCCCCCTTATAGCCTAAACAGACTGTTGGGGCAAGTGCTGTTAGCGGGTATTTATGAAGGCCGGCACGGCACACGAGGGGGTGGGTGACCAACACCACTCCCGGACGCCTTCGTCTGCCCCAGATACTCATTTGAGGCTGAGTCGACCTTGGGGATGCCCAGGACCGATTCAGATAATCGTCACTGGTGTTGGCCATGATCGGGAATTGGACTCGAATAGCCGGGATCTTAGCGCAGCGCGCTAACCATTGCACAACAATCGACCACACGCACACACATCCTGATCATCAGATTCTGGGAAATACCTGAAATGGATTCCAATTGCAGTGCCACTGTGCCTGGCCTCTGTATCCTATGAAAGGCATTCGACTGGCTAGAAAGTGATGCGGTCATCCAAGCTTTCGAAAAACATAGCGTAAATAAAAAAATAAAATATTGGAATGTATAAAATAAAAGTCTTTTATAAAAGAAATTGAACAGCAGCGAAGATATTCTACGAAGAAAGTACAGTACCGAAAAAATGCATACGTACTTAAGATATGGACAAAACACATACATGTTTGAAGTACAGACGAAATAATACGTACCCAAAGTCCCAACAAAATACATACGCGAATTATCAAAAGAACAAATAAGTATTGTACTCAACGTATCGACAAAATACATATATGCTCAAAGTACCGACAATATACATACTCAACTTATAGACAAAATACATATGTACTGAAACTACAGACAATATATACATACATACTCAATGTATCGAAAAAATACACTAAAATGATCGATAAAATGTACGTATACTATACTCAAACTATCGACAAAATACGTTTACAAAATTTACTAAATACATACACCGCACCTCCGATTAGCACGGTTGGCTACGTACGGTGCGAAAGAAGAAGAAGTTTAACATACATACATACTCAATGTATCGACAAAATAAACATGTACTAAAAGTACAGACAATATACATAATCAATGTATCGACATACATACTTAAAGCTGCCGCTCTTTCGCAACAGTTGTTCACACAGCGACGTTAGAAAGATGTACAGTATTTAGAAACTCAGATTTGAGAAACGAATGCATCATAATAATGGAGGCAATATTATTGATTGATAATGTATCTTTGCTGACGACACGGTCCATAGACGGTCCACTGAGAATTAACGGCAGGAATTAAGTTTATATAGAAGGCTGAAAGCTGGACTCAGGTGCGCAGCGAGACACGTGAGTGAGTGTGTGTCCACCTCGGATAACCACCACGTGTTGATACCTGTCATTGACACGTGCTGCAGAAACTCCACGGATCTCCCTCGCTAAATGTTGTATGTACCAGGACGATTGGCGAAACGGGATGATTATTCGTCGAGCAAATCACAATAATAATACACTTAACTGAGCCACCGCCATTCATAAGAATGACAGAACGCGAACTGAGAGGTGGGCCGATAGAATCACGTCTCGCGCGGCTCATTTTGACGTGAATCCTCTGCAGTGCGTCCTACAGTCGCGTGTCAAGAGATGAGACGGAGCACGGATCCGTGCATGAAGGCATTCGACCATAACGCTGCGTGTCAATAATAGTATATAATAGGCGACGTTTTTGGCAATGGCCCTTCTTCATAGCACAATAGATTCGTTTCCCGACGCAGACGCATTAGCTGCGTGGACTTTGTACATGCAGGCTTCCCTCACTTTATGCGGGTTACGTTTGTGCGGTTTCACTTACATGCGGCTAACATATTTCAACGAAAAATGCGCTATATGCAGTTTGAATTCACTCATATGCGGCTATGCGGTCGGACGTAGGGCAATATTGGGTGTACTGTTTGCGCTATTCGGCAGCTACTGCAGCTACATACTATTAACCCTCCTTCCCTTAATTAATGCTACCCCCGATCCCAGGGGTCGGGAACCTATTTTGACTGGGAGAGCCATAAAAGCCAAATATTTCTAAATATATTTCATTGAGAGCCATGTAGTATTTTTAACGTATAATAAATTAAATATGTATTACTTTTAATGCGACTTCTGGTGCTGCATGGTTTTGCTGATGGCCTTGTAGTCTGGTTCATACGTGGTGAGGTTGAGCTTCAGTGCAGGCGTGACCCGTGAAATTTATCTTCAAAACTAATTTCTGTTTACTTTAAAATGACACAGTATTATTCAGCAATATCACAAGTATTTTAAAATCAGTTCCAAACTGATTTATTTTTATTTTTTCAACTCAAAATTGTCTGGGAGCCATATGCCGTCACTGGAAGAGCCATATATGGCTCGCGAGCCATAGGTTCCCGACCGCTGCCTATCACCTCCCTTTGATGCTGCTAATCCTGCATAATGCACGGGCATGAGTAGTACTAATCACATACCTGCATTTCCCATACATATGCTAAATTCCTCTTAAATATGCAAATTATTTTATCAAGGCGCCCTTCCCCCCCCTTCCAACCCAGCTTAAATATACGCTCCAAGCCTGGGGTGTGTCATTCAGACTCTGCCTTCTCGACAGACCTGTTCTTCACCTGAGGACGGCTGCTTGCATTGTGGCCGAAACGTCGTGAGAATTATTTAATAAAGTGTTATTTTTATTATTTAATTATTTCCATTCTACGTGACTTTACCGAAAGAACCAAGAAGATGAATATGTTGTCTGTTGTTGTTGTCTGTGCTTGTGCTCCACTGTCAACGCAACAGCATCACCGATTTCATCTCGATGTTTACCTACAACACGGATGCTTTTGTCAACCGGTAGCGGCCGCTACATAGCAACAATCGCGTTACGGAAGACGCAGAGCAATGCCGACTCTGCTCAGCGGAATGATTTCTTCACGCGTTCAAGGAGAACCCGCGAGTTGAGAGTGCGATGACGTCGCCGGCATGAACGAGGTGGACGAGCAACCCCAGTCCGACGTACCTCAGCTCCGAGAAGGCGAGGTTGATGCTCTGAGTGCGTCTCCTCTCCTTGCGGTTGCCCGGCGCGCGCCTCCGTGTCGGGCCCGGGGCTGCCATGGACTCTCCGTGCGAGGGGCAATGGCTTTGCCCAAATGCAGGCCCTGCCCCCAAGCCGTGCCCGAGCCCAACTGGCCTCAGACCCGAGCCTGCTCCCATCCCTGGCGCCCCTAACCCCGACCCCATACTCATGCCCCCTGGCCCTAAACCTGCCCCAAGTGCCGGCCCCGCACCTAAGCATGGCCCCATGCCCTGCCCTGCTCCGAGGCATGCCCCTAACCCGAGAGTGAGCCCCGCTCCCATCCCAGACTCAAAACCAGATTCCGCCCCGGGGTCAGGGACCAGCCCTGTCCCGTGGGTCGCCTCTGGCCCTGCCCCGAAAGCGGGCCCTGCCCCGTGCGTGAATCTGAGCGCAGGCCCCCCCTGGAACCCCAGCTGCCCGTGGGGCCCCGGCTGGTGCAGGCCTCCCAGACCGAGGGGGGTACCTAACATGCCGTCCCCGTGCGGGAGCGACCCAGGGTAGTGAGCGGCGCCCGTGAGCCACGGACACGGGGGTCGCTGCGTGGGGAATGGGCGGTGAGACAGCGGCTGGCCCTGCTGTAGGAACATGCCGGCGATGGTGGTGGTGGTGGTTGTGATGATAACGACGATGAAGGTTTTTGGTGGTGATAATTGTGGCGCTGATCCTGTGGTATATATCAGAATCTTTCTTGATCCTGGAAAAGTGCCCTTATTGATGATGATTACGACCCTGCGGATACCGAGGAAGTTTCTAATCACGTAGTGGAAGTGATGATACAGATTCCGCAGAGACAGTTGTTGTTGATGATGTTTGTTTCTGGACTATTTTGGTGGCGATGATGACGCTTCGCTTAGCGACCGATTAGGCTGCAGTAATCGCTCGAGCGGATCTTGTAGATGCGAACGCTGTCAATTGTATTCCTGTTGCTGCGACATTGATACACAGTTTAAGGTTACGATGATGGTGATGAGAATGCGCTTGGTCTTGATGTCGTCATTCTTGGGGGACCACTGAAAGTAAAAAAAAAACACAAGCACTGCTGTTGGTGGACCTGCGGGAAGTGGGATTTGTTTTATTGCTGTTCCTCTACGTGACGGACCTCTTTACTGATACAACTGTAGCTGTCGTCTTCAATTAAACCACCCTTGCAACTGTTGATTCTATTGTCGATGCTGTAGTCCTCAGTGACATCCATTTTGCTGATGTGTCTATAGCTGTTCTGGCCGTACTCGTGGCTACCGTCCAAGCTTGTTCATCTCTTGAGTTGCCTAACTTTGATGCCGGCAGTTTGGGCCAACTCCAATGTCAGCGCGACCGCCGACTGCTGAGCCGGTCACTTTGTCAACTCGCCATTCCGACAGCCACTAACAGCCGACCGATGCTTTCTGCGACCTCGTTGCCATGAATATCAACATCGCCACAAGGGCGCCGTCTGCATGCGTTCAACGAGACGAGAAGTGCCTCGTGACGTGGTCCGTGGTCTCGTTCGGTGTCGTCGTCCCAACACCTCCACGATTTAACACGCATCCCTCCAACCTAAAGTATACGGAGCAAACCGCGAGCTCTTCGTTGACGACATTGTGGACTAATCGCAATGGGCAATGCATTTAGAGAAGCTCCTATACGTGCTGGATGTTGTTGACGGTGACGTCGTTACGTATGTTGGACTTCTTTCGCACCGTACGTAGTCAACCGTGCTAATCGGAGGGGTGGGGGAAGGACAACAAACTAAGCAAAAAAAAAAGCTGTTATTTCTGTTCTTGTTGCTGTGTATTTGATGAAGGTGATGTTGATGATGTTGCTGTATAATTGATGTCGATGGAGTTGATGTTAGTGATGTCGTTGATGTTAAAGATGTTGCTGTATAGTTTATGGAGTTGATGACGTAGGTGGTTGCGGTGTTGACTGTTGTGGTTACGTGCGTGGCTGTGGTGATGATATAGGTTTTGGAGAATTGCATGGTGGTGATTGTGGTTGTGTTATTGGTTATGGTGGTAGTGGTTATAGTCGTGGTGATAGTTGCAATATTTCGGTGGCAACTGTTGCTATGGTGGTATAGTATGGTTGTTCTAGTGGTAGTTATTGGGGGAGGGTTGGAAGTGGTGGTGCTTGTGGTGGTATGCGGATTGTCTACATAAAGATTCTGATTTGTTAATGACGTGTGCATGGTGGCCGACGTGTCGCTGGTTGATGGTTGTCGATAAAGTGGTTTAATTAGCGAGGTTGGCTACGTACGTCGCGACAGAAGCTCAGCATACATCGTGGTTGCCGTGTCTGTGGCTGACACCGCGTGCATTGTTCATCGTGGTGGGTGACGGCGGTGCTTGACGCTAGCGTTTGGAGTGTGAGGTTGATTCTAGATTCGAAGCTTTCGTGACTGCAAGCATTCATACTCTTAGTTCTTTCGGTAAAGTCACGTAGGTAAAAAAAAAATGAAATTAAAAATTAAACAATAAAATCACGACGTCTCGGAGGCAACACAAGCTTCCGTCTTCAGTGATTGTTTGTTATTGTTTTATTTTTAATTTCACTCTTTTTACCCACGTGACTTTACCGAAAGAACTAAGAGTAGCGTGTGTAAGGTTGGTTGGGTGCCTGCGTGACTCTGACCTCGCGCTGTCCTCCCCCCGGGTCCGGCGGCGGCCAGCTCCTCCTCTGCTCGATCTCCGTCCGGCGCTCTGCGCAACGACGTCTCGACGTCTCGCCGCTCCGACCCCTACGCCGCACGCGTGGTGCCCTCCGCGTCTCTGCCGCGCGCATCTCGCCGCTGACGCTGCTCAGGAGTCGCGAGGCGGGGCCACGGGCCCATTGGAGACGATCGGCGTGGAGAGGCGCGGCCCTCCTGCCCCTGTGGTGTCGCACCTGCGGCGTCCGCCCGCGTGTCCGCGTGTCCAACCGCCTGCCTCTTTCGCTGTCCGTCTACCAGCCAGACCTCTAATGTCTCTACGTCGGTCTGTGTCCGTCCGAATGTTTACCCGTCTGTCTGATGGCTGCTTCACGTCTGATTGTTAGCCTGACTGTGAGCCTGCGTGTCTGCTTGCCTGTCTGTCTGTCTTGTCACTATTTCTGTCTATCCAGCTGCCTCTTTGTCTGATAATTGTCTGCCTGCCTGTTACCATCTAGTCCGACGTGTCTGTGTATAAATCTGCGTATATATCGATCTGTGTGTCCGCCTGCGTTGTCTGTTCACCAGTCTGTCTCCCTGTCTGTTTGGGGGCACTTCCACGGACCTGTCGATTTGTCTGGGTGTATATTTCTGTCTGCGCGTCGTTCAGTTCGACTGTAGAGTTTGTCCAGGGCACAGGGCTCGGTAAATAAAATAACGAGCCAATTTTTTTTGTAGAATTCGCTAATATTTAAAGTGCCGCAATGCACGTGAGTACGAGACGGTCCTTAATCAAGAACTGTCACGAAGCAGGACTCAAAGAGCCGCACACGACTCCGGAGCCGCGCCTTGGCGAGCCCTGGTTCAGGGTGTATCGCTCGGCTGTGTGTCGTCCCTGTGTCAACACCTCGATACGTCTGCCGTTGAGTGTCTCTGTGTGTATAGCTCTGGGCGGCCTGCAGTGTGCATTTCGTCGTTTGTACTACGGCTCTCCGTCATGTACTGCGCGCCCATCGTTGTCTCTGCCCATCTCTACAGCTGTGTTTGTAGCGTCAGCGGATCCGTGCAGTTGTTTCCGATTGGCTTTGGCCGAATACGCAATGTTTATTCACGGAACAAGGTACTGGCAGATCGATAACGTGGACAAGAGAAATCGTATCTAATTTACCTCGTTTAAAGATGCGTCGGACTGAAAATCGTGACTAACATTCACGCATTTTGATGTTGTCATTGAAATAAATACGTGTACATAAGTGTATAGACATAGTTGGACAGGTGATGTTTTTTTGGAATGTGGAGTAATTTCCCATATTCTATAACATACACAGTGTGTGTGTGTTCGATGTTGTGCCTGTGTTTAGTTTTGTGTGTCGGATGCTTTCTGAAGTTCTCTATTTCTCTCGGTCGGCAATATTAACAGGCATGGTACTAACATAATAATTGTATTATAATACTCCACACTGCTCTTATATTGAATTCAATGTACAGGACACGCTGTTACGCAGACAGATCCAAAACACGTCCGCGTATCTGCTGAAGCAATGTGTACATTATTTGAGTTGTGTATGTGTGTGATAAGTGTACAGTATCCACTTAGTTTAATGGTAAATAATACTTTAGAATCCTTTGTCAATCCACTGTTCGAAGAAACTAAACAATTTTTATTTTATTTTACCAGGTAAAGCGTACTCAGCTATTAGCTCTTTTGCAGAGACAACCTGGCCACACGTTATAGCTAATCAAAGTGGCTCTATCATCAGAGAGTATAGTTTCAGCCGCATAATCTGAATGCGTCTTGATTTCAAATATGGAGGCCAACACCTTGAGGATACGGAGAAAAATCCACGCGGCCACAGGGAGACAGAGACCACGCGAACTCCAAATATAACACAACAGGCAGCGCCAGAATGCGGGATCGAACCACCCATGGACCTCTCGTTGCACACCAGACGAGTGAGATGCGATCTCGATAAGCGACGCCGCGTCCGTCACCAGGGGTTGTTGGACCAAACCTCATCCTTGGTCAGTGCGGACTGGCGAAGAGTGAGGGAGGCGGGCAGGACAGGTTTAGATGTTACTCGCTAATTGACGTTCCCCAATCACTGCGCCACTGCTCTACCCCATACTCAATACAATGGGTTTAGATATATATCTATATATTTTACAGTATCTATATATATATACTAGTAATGGGCAGCGGACGTTATTATAAATGTCAGGGGCCCACATTTCAGAATATTGGTGGTTGGAATTTTCAGTTAAATGTTATCGGCTGTGCGATAATTGCGCAAAATTTCACTGCTCGTCAACATCGGTGGTTCTTAGCCGGGGGTACGCGGACCCCTGGGGGGGCACATTAGGTGATTTATAAATGTGTGAAATTATATCGTACGTGAGGGTCATTGGTGAATAATCACGTACGAATCTGGCAATATAAAATAACTACGATGGTAAACTAGAACGATGTGAAGGGTCTCCATAAATTCTAGATTTGAAGCTTTCGTGACTGCAAGGATTCATATTCTTGGGTTTTTTCGGTAAAGTCACGTGGGTAAAAAATTTAAATTAATAAAAGTAAAATTAAATAAAAATTTTAAATAAAAATCACGACGTTTCGGAGGCAACACAAGCTTCCGTCTTCAGGTGGAACCGTCACAGCACGATAGCTGTATCAAGTAAATGAGAAATTCCAAGAGATACTACCCCGTATATATACTGGTTGAGGGGGGGGGGGGTGAGCCAGGACAGGCCCCCTTATATTATTATGGTAAGGTTGGTGCGGGGGGGGGGACAACAAACAAAACACAAAACAATGCACACGTATATCCAAGACAAAAGATACCCACTACACACCTCCATGCAAACAAACATACATAAAACATACACAAAGATCCCCCATATAGCCTTAATCTCCGTTTGGGCCAAGTGCTGCTAGCGACCACAGAGGGGTGGGGACAGCCTCACACCTGGTGGCGATGTTCACACACCGTACCAGCTACTCATTTGACGCCAAGTTCAAATAGGAGAGACCGAGGACCGGTTCAGATCATACGTTTTAAAATCCTTTATATTAAGTTAACTTGCTTGCTTGCTTGCGTGCTTGCGACCGTGCAAATCTTTCGGTCGTTTTTTAACCCACTTCCCGTGATCCAATTTAGCTGACATTTTGCACACAGACTCGTTGTGCGTGACAATTTATTTTCGTGAAAAATAAATGTCCAAAATTTTCCACTTTTTAGGAATTTTTTTTTCATATTTAATTTGAAATACCAATGTGATAAAAATGAAACTCTTACTCAAGAAAAACAGAAATGAATAATAAAATAAAACCGATGCCACGCATATAAAGGATTTATAGTGAAAACCTTTGTTTTTACGGGTTAATTTTTTTTATGGACTGTGAGCAGGAATCGAACTCGGGTCGCCGGGTTCATAGCGCAGCGTGCGAACCGCTACACGACTGCTCCCCACACACACAGACACAAGAAACAACATCACATTCGCACGCAATGCTTGTTAACATGACGCTACAACCAACGGGCCTTCGCCGGGTATATCATAGCGCCGCTGTAAATATTTATCGAGCTGAAGGCATCGACGTAAACGAAAGACACACGTGTGTGTGGTATACGTGAGCTGGGGCGGTGGCGCAGCAGTTAGCGCACTGCATGCAGCGTCATGAACCGGGCATCCCGAGTTCGATTCGCGGCCACGGTGGACGTGGATGGCGAGCGATATCTGCGCCCATCTCGTCAACAGCCCTTACCCAGCGTGGTGAAACGCGGCGTGGTGGGCAGTCCTTCGTGCGTAAACAATCGCGGGACCCTGTGGCCCGGTAACAAAATTATCGCCGCTAACTTGTGAATGCAGTGGTTCTCAACCTTTTTGTTATAGCCCCCACCCCCCTTCCTCCTCTCAATTATGACCACCGGTCTCCGCGCACCCCTGCCTCCAGGTTACGTACGGTGCGAAAGAAGTTCAACATTCACACGTCCACACCGATACACAGCGAGAAATCACCCACGCCAACGCCTCTTGTTCAGCGAGGCGTTAGCAAGGGACGTGTTTCGCGTTGGCTATTAGTTGATGTGGGTTTTTTTTCTAGATTTGAAGTTTTCGTGACTGCAAGGATCCATACTCTTTGGTTATTTCGGTAAAGTCACGTAGATGAAAAATAAAAATATTTTATTATTTTATATTTTCATCTACGTGACTTTACCGAAAGAACAAAAGAGTATTGATGTGTTTTGTCGCAGAAACGTGGCGATGACTTTCCCCGCATGGTCTCCATTCCCCGCAGCCTCGGTCTTCTCAAAGGCTTTCGCCGTCCCTCTGTGGGATGGAGGTGGCGGGCGGGCGGGCGGTCGAGGTACTCACGGCTTGAACATTGCTGCTGTAAAGGTTAATTTCAGTGACCCTTGTGCGAAAAAACGCTCGTCGCACCAGACGAGACCGCATTGAGACCAAGGGTGGCACAGTCGGGTTTTTTTTACAATCGGGTTTAATTGTCTTTTTATATTAAACCCGATCATATGAGATTTGGAGAAATCCGGTTTAATTGGTTTTAATTGCAGAACCGCACTTCGCCAACTTCTCAACGATGGGCTTCATCCATTCCAAGCTAAGGAACTCACTGGCGCCCACGATTGTGGAGAAGCTCGTGTTCATCAAGACCAACCTGCCCGCCGCATTCTACGACTACCCCGTGCCCGACGGCCCCCCGAGTACGATAGCAGCACCGACGAGGAAGCAGCCTAAGCCTTGGATCAGAGTTTCGTATTCATTAAACCAGGTTTTAATTCCCCAAAATCGGGTTTAATTGTATTAAACAAAAAAAACCCGATGCCTGCCGCTGGAAAAATCGGGTTTTTTTCCACCCATGATTGGGACACGTCTCTCCATGACGGACACCCGCAATTGCGTTGCACCTGTCCCGACTGAACTAAGAGGAGCCCGAGCCTTGGTCGACCGTCGACCGACTCGGCCGAAAATTTGTAACACGAATCGTGCGGTGGTCGGGTCATGAATATTAACATTTTGGGAGACAAAGGCGGCAGGGCATGTGCGATACTGGACCCACCACCACCACCACCATATGTGCCTAACCGACCTTAATAGGTGCTTAATTGTCAAATGCCAATGAGCTGTGCGCAGCTCAGTAGAGTGTAATGAATTCTTGACCCGCGGGTGACTGCCGAGTCCGCACGCAAGATCGCGATTACGTCCCGATGTGTCCACGTAATTGCCCCGTGTAATTAGGGGAAATGGCCTTCAAATCGAATCAAAATAAAATCAGTCGATAAAACAGACCACAGAGTCGTCAACAAGGAAACCAGACGCACAATGGAACAGGACAACATTTGGACCACGTGGGTTTCCCCCCCCCCCCTCTAATACTTTCACCCACCTCATCCTCACACAGGCGCAATCTCGCATCCTCTTCTCTGCATCTACGTCACCTCCTCACGCATCTTACGAGGACTCCAAGTCACGGCCCGTGAATTAATCAACTCGGTAACCACTATCCACGCGCTTTCGCTGTTATCAGCATCATAGGGGAAACGCAACAACGGGCGTGCTGTACTGCCAGGGTAAATATTCATATATGTAGATTAAATATCCCTTGCTGTACACGGCACAGACCCGGACAACATTGCTTATACTTTTAGTAGCTGTTCAAAAATTATTGAGGTTATATTTCCGTCGCTGGAGACTCCGACGAAATCCTTACAAAATCACAAGTGCTTCCCACTTGCACATTAATTTAGCAGATGCCACCCTTGCTGTTTTCCTTTTATGGCAGCCCAGCGCACTCTGACCCCACTCCACGATATCTAGAGGTTGTCATGGACAGAAGTCTGACCTTCCGGCCCCACGTAAAACATATCTGTGAAAAGACCAAATCAAGACTCGCCCTGCTACCGAAACTTGCAGGAACGAACTGGGGCGACTCAGCCGATGTGTTGTGAACTGCCACCATCTCGCTCATCTACTCGACGGCAGTCGCTGCACTCCAGCCTGGTCCGGGAGTTCGTACACAAAAATTTTTGATTCACAACGAAGTAACGTAATGCGGATCAATCAGAGTACTGAAACCGACACCAACTCCCTTGGCTCCATCTTCTGGCGAACATTCTGCCACCAAATATCCACAGACATTCACATTATACCTCGCTGCCGACTCAAGTCCCGATCCCTCTTCTGGAATCGTACTGGCACGATTCTTAGAATCTCACCCAAATCTGGAAGAATGCTGGCGAACAGTGAAACATCGAGGATGTCCAGAATAAACAACTCGATTGAGGCCAAATGATCAAACGTCCGCGCTTTGACATTCTCCGAAGACACTGGCATTATCATCACAAGCATCAGAACATTAACAGGCCCGATGTAGACACCTCATTCACAAATGGAAAATTAAAGACAAGTCACAGTGCGACTGTGGCCATGCAACTCAAATTATGGACCGTATCGTAAAACCAATGGTGGAATAGCGAAACGACACAAACTCTTATGAAGCCCTTTCCTGGATAGCAGACCTCGACATGAGCATTTAGCTTCCGAACATATTGCTTGCATACACTATATAATAGAGCGAAGAAGAGAAGACACCAGAGGACGTCCATCATGGGGGGACCTGGCGTGAAATTAAATCATGATGCGTGAGACCCGTGCAGAATGGCGATGGACTGGGGAGGCCTTTATCCAGGAGTGGTGAGTTTACCATGGGACCATGGGAGATGATGATGGGCAAGCGGCTTCTATTTATTTATTTAGAGAAAAGCCTCCTCCTGCCACAACTTCAGAGGTGTGCCATTACTGCCGGTCCTCGCTCCCCTTTCAGGAAATACATTTTCTTTATGTAATATTCACTTTGTTGAAAGACACTTGTGTTAATCTCCTACCAATGTAATCGTCAGCACAATGTGAATGCACTGGTGTTTGGTAGGCGCACATGTCGTTCATGTCATCAGAGACACACGTCAAAACCTGCTTCATCGCAGCTGGATCATTTAATTGCACTTGATTACACACACATCTCCATGTAAAATAAAGTGAAAAACAATTTCAATGTATATCTAAAATAAATATTTCAGTATGAGCATTAATAAAAACAATTGTCTAAAAAATATTCAAGTAGTTATTTGCAGTTGCATACTTTTATGGTGGTTGTGAACACTTTGAGCGCAAGGGATTTGGTATTTTATGAAATATTACAACACAATTTTGTTAATGTTCTCCACCCTCGCCACTCTCCTAAATGTGCAGTCTCTTACAGCAGGGCCAGCTGTAATTGTCATGCACGGTAAATTGTGGCATTAGCGGGGGGGGGGGGGGGGTAACGATTCACCTTCCCTCGCGATTCAGTAATTGTGGCACGATTTGGGTTTACAATGACATTCAATAAAAAATATATAAAATCCATCGCTGTGAATTACCTGGCCACTGGTGGACGCATGGGTCACAAGCACATTACAAACACCACACCTACAAAAACATCAGATTTTTACACACGTGGGTTTGATGCATGCACCATCGGCTTAACACAAATATCAATATTCACCAACGAATTGACGCATCGTCACACCCCTACTGCCAATCCCGTGCTACACACACCACTGCTACACTACACATGGCTGTGGCCCTTATAAAATCAAGGTTAAATTATTCACACCGTTTAAATATTACTTTGTTACACACACACACACACAGAGCTTGCTTAATGCCCTGTGCTTAATTACACAATGGTTTCATATCAACAGATATCATTTAATGTGCCTCAAGTCCTGAGTCATTTGCATATTTGTTGAGTACTATTTTGAAGTCAGTTTTTTTTAGCAATTTTCTTCGTCCATTCTTCTGTCCGAGTTGCGCCACCGCAGTTTTTATGCAAGACAATCGTCATGAAAAACGCAACGGTTAAATTGAAAATAGGCCAATAGCTAATTACACCAGCGCTACTCTATAACATATAAATAATCATTTAAGAACGCTTGTCACACAAGCAGCACGCGGGCCATGTACAGTATATACAAGCTAGTGGGATTCCATACTCCATAATAAAACCACTCGTATTTATTCGACGAGCCAAACTTTATTAAATTTGGCTTCATCGTCAATGACTATCAGTATTAAGATATAATTTAATGCGAAGGCTGGTTTAATATCCAGTGTACTGTAGCGTTAGAGTGCAGTCATGTCAGTGGAAATATCAACATTTCAAGCTCATTTGGCCAGCTTTGTTAATACCTTTAAATAAAGAGCCAGACAGTCTTTGACTGGAACCATTAGAGGCCAGTTAATTCTCATTCGTTTGAGTGAAGTTGCCTCCAGCTACAAAACTAGTAAACTTTGTGCACAGTAGAACTTGCGGTCATACTGCTGACAGAGATGCCAATGGGGTCGAGATTGATGAAAGATCTGCTGGCAGTTTGATCGTCCTAAAGTCTGAAACGTCTCTTAATATTTTTCAGAATTGTCAAGAAATTTTCAACACGAATTTTTGGTGCCATTTCTCATCAATGAGTGTTTGTTATCTCACTTGCTCGAACAGCTGTATTATTAAACTCCCCCAAAACATCTATATTCAAGAAATTCACCACTCAGCATGTAATGCATACGATTTATCAAAACTCACATCCTATGTACATCATCTTCTAAAGCCCCTGAAGAAAAATGTTAGACCCTAACCCTAACTTTAGACTTTAGTGCATCGTTGGGGTATAATTATCCTATGGACCACAACAGCTGGTTTGTTAACGGTTAAAATCGCTATGACGAGATGCTATCTCCCTAGTATGCAGGAGGTCGTGGGTTTGATCCTCACCCTGACACCTGTATATATGGCGTTTGCATGTTCTCCCCGTGGTTGTGTGGATTTTTCTCTGGGTTTTCCCGTTTTTTCCTCCACATTTAGAAACATGCCTTTTGATTATTTGCCTGATATAAATTTCCACATGATAAGCCACTTTGTTGAGCTATCATTTGTGGTCTGGCTGCTTCTGAAAAAGGGGCTAATAGCTCAGTAGGCCTTTCCTGGTAAATAAAATAGTTTAATGTGACATTGACCTTCGCTTAAAAGGCATTGCCCCTTTTCCGTAGAGAACTCGGTCCGTCGCTCTGCCGTTTTCTTCCTGTAGCGAATGGGCTTCACACTGCCTGTGCACTGCAAAGTCAATTTCCACGAATCTTCCTGAGGGCGGCGGCAGCAGCGGTAGTGAGAGCATCACCAAACAAGGAGGTAGACGAGCAGGAGGTGCATGGCGAGGAGGTAGAGAGCGGCGACGAAGCTCTTGCGGGAGTGAGCGTGGGCTGAGCAGTAGCGAGCTCTCCCGCGTAGCCAGTGCCGCACACAGAACCCCAATCGCCGGACCTGAGGGATTCAAGCACGGAGGGAGCACGTGTTGGCTCCTTCCAGTAGGACACATCGCGAGATGGGGTGATAGCCGAGGAACACGATGGAATGGCCACCAATGGACGGGATGTGCTAAGGTTACAACCGCGATGACGGAGCAGGGAGATCAAGTGGATGAGCAAGATGGATTGTGACATCACAGGCCGCGAGGGATGGCGATGGCATCGGTAAGCCTTCATGCAGCAGTGGAAAGATAGTGGCCGATGCTGATGGTGACAATGATGCCCTACCTGCCGGGTCAGTGGGTGGTGCCGTGGATCATAAACCAGCGATTCTGCCTCATCTCCCCATTGCCCGCGCTCTCCAATGCAGTCAGCACCATCGTCTGCATCACCTCCTTCCCAGTCAACTACCACAGTGTGCTGGTGGTCTGCGGAGGGAAGTCCAAACACCCCTGCAGTCCTGAAGAAGAAGAAAAAAGAGAAAGCGATGAAAAGATGGAACAGTTGTCGCATTAAGAGACTGATCTTAGGACTGCGGAGTTTCCCCAATAGTTGAAGGTCTCAAATAAAATGGAGCACTGCCTTACACTCAATTGAGCAGGGAGATTCTGTAAGTGATACAAGAAATATACGTGTAATCTTATTTGTATTTTTGTATTTTAAGATTGTTTAATACGGCTAATTAACATTTTACATTCGCATTTTATAAGGTCTACTTATTCATAATTTTAAAGATTTTAGCCCTTTGGTATTACTTATACTTTGTAACGTTAGTATAGTTAGAGTGTATACCTTTTATATAAGTTAAGATTCCTACTTGTTCAATGTATGCACCGTCCCGCCATAGTGAATTCCTTGTTTGTGCAAACTTACATGGCGATTAAAACCGTTTCTGATTCTGATTAAGGATGTAATAATTTCAACTTGTAACGCACACAGTATTTGTTCGCTCTTGGAGATAATTACTCGGAGTCACGAGGAACCACAGACATGCAGAACAGGCAACTTTGCAGTGAGCCGGCATCAATTTCCCCCAAAGCTCTGTGGTTCTCTATATATAAAGGTGTTCTCAGTCAACTAATAAGTGTTTACATGTGGGAGGAAACCGGAGAACCTTGAGCAAACCCACATGTGTGAGGAGGGTAACACTGAAAATGCCATACAGAAGGAACAAATGGAGTCCACATTTGTTGTACCACCTTCTCCTGGCGAGCCAACGTATGGCACCTCGACAACCATGAGAAAGAATATTTGCAACATTTGAAAAATCCACCAATCCTCGCCTCCAGTGCTGAATTACAGGTGTACACCACCAATGCCTGGTGGATGCTTAGCTAAAGCATTTAAGGGGTTTTTTTTGCACCAAGGAAACCAGAAAACCTATGTGTTTAAGGACGTCACTCTAAGACCAGTCTATATGATCTAGCAACCAAAATTTCTGACTTGTTAACTTTGTCTCACAATGTCATGACAGCACTCTGTACTGACCACACTCATTTAGTCGCATACTTTCTAAGACACTTTGCTGTCCAACACGATCAAAACATCACTCTCAATCATTCCTGACTTGAACGCAATTTGTTTTAGGCCAACAGAAACATCTGTCGTTTTTTACTCGGGGAAAAAAACCCCCCTCCAATGAATGCTTTAACCATGTAACTGGGCCATTACACATTCTTTACTTTCTTGCCCTGCACTGGCTATACAGAGGCTGGTGTTACATCTGTTTTTCAGCTCCTTTATTTTAATTCAGCTTTGCCCTTCAAGGGTAGATGGCCCAACAGGACAGCAGGCATTCTTTGGACTCCCTCACACTGTACCTTTTCCAATGTTCCCATAATTTACCTCGATTCAAGAAACACTTTCATCTTTGTCTACTCTCCGTTGATAGCTGCTTTGCATTTTAGGCCTTTGGGCTTATGCCCAGCAACCGCGATACAAAATTCATCACCACTCCGGTTAATACTTAGCAATTACTAATTTCAACCCCTAGTTAGAACAATGGAGATGATAACAATGGTGAAGTACTTACAGTCTATTCTTATTGATACTACCTGTGCTTTACAAAGGTGTGTACTTGTAAAGAAACTTACCTGGCTTCTCCGAGGCGATGGAGGCCAGGCGAAGGCTCGGATGGCAGAGAAGGCTTGTGGCGAGGAGCTCCAGGAGGACCTACATCTTCATATTGACTTTCCCCCTGACACAAAGGCACGAGACAAAATGCTGCATTAAGTTGTACAGACGAAAGGGACAAGTGCTGTTAGTGAGCACCTATTAAGGCTATGACTTCACAACCTTGGAAGGTTTAGGCAGCACCACATCCTTGTCTCCCCAGCGTTGATTTTCACATACTGCATCACATAATCAATTGAGGCTGAGTCGACCCAGAGGAGATCAGATTAGGTTCAAACACAAACTTACCACTTCAATTGGGCATAACTAGGAATAGAACCAAGGTCACCAGATTTAATGGCCGACACACATACCGACACACACATACTTTTATCAGACAATATCAAGCATTGCCAAATGATGCAGATATCAACAAATCACACGTATATAAAGAAAGCTATAAAAACATGTACACATATAAAATTAAAAATATTCACAGATCCAGCTCTAACCAGCTACATACATAAACACACACAATCCACTGCAGATTGAGGGCCTCACTATGCCTGTGGGTCACAGGAGTTGTTTTGATCATACTTCACCATGCTGGTCAGTGTGGGTTGGTGAAGAGGGGCTCAGGATTGCTTCAGATATCACCTCTCCACTAATGTTAGCTGTAGTTAGGAATCAAATTAGATCATCCGGTTGATAGTGCAGTGCACAAACCACTGCACAACCGCTCAATCCAAACACAAACATATTTTAGAATACATAGACACAACCAGGGACGCAACATACATTTGTCAAGCATACTTTCCTACACATACAGTTTGAATCATGTACACAAATAAACACAAAAGGACGTTTGTTCACACGCATACATACGCATCGTGGATGATTTTTGGATAAAATATATAGATGTTCGAATATTGACAGAAAATGTTTGCATCCTTTTTGGATTTACATTGTGTTATTTATTTATGCATGTTTGAGCTGAAGACAGTGACATCCTTTGACACCATGTGACATTGTTTGGGCTGCAAAATGGCACTCGTGAAGACATGTTCATGATGTCACTTCTTTTTCCAGAATAAACCAGAATAAACATTATTTTGGATCGTACAAAATACCATATCTAGGCCTGATTTTTTAACGTCTCAGATTCATCCCAAAAACGAGAGTTCATCCCGAACACAGACAAAAATATGTACACTAAACCAGACATTTGTACAGACATGCAAACCTGGGAGCACGGCCGATTGGCAAGCAGCGCAAGCTGCTGCTGCAGGGCCAGCGCGTGCACTCTCAGCTGCTCGTAACGGCCTTGTGCCTCCTGCAGGTTGCGTTGCAGACCTTGCACCTGAGCCCCAAGTGCCGCGCGTTCTCCATCGCCATCCTCCGCCTGCCGCGCCAGCGCCGCACGCAACTCGGCCCTCTCCGCCTCCTCCCTGCGTCTCTCAGCGGTCGTCAGCGAACTCGACACCTGTGCCTCTTGATCTCTGATCATGCTCTCCGTTGCTGCCAAGCGAGACTGGAGCTGGGATGCTCTTGCAAGTGCCGCTTTGCGCTGCAAGGATGCGGTGTCGGTAAGCTCCCTCAGCTCGGTGTCTTTCTGCGCGAGGGCTGCTGCACTGATCTCAGCATTCAGCAGAAGTGTAGACATTTTGCGGTCCTTTTCTTGATGCAGTGCATGCAGGGTCGCTATCTCTCGATCCCGGTCTTGACATTTCACATTCAGCATCTTGATTTCTTGTTCTCTGTGCCTCCATTCCAAATGTAACTTCGCAATGTCTTGCTCCTTGTCTTGACGCTGCGTATTCAGTGTCGCGATTTCCCGCTCCTTGTCCTGGTGCCGAGTGCTTAACGTCACAATCTCTTGCTTCAGTGATGCCATCTCTCGTTCCGTGTTCTGAAGTTGCACATTTAGTGTTGCGATCTCTCGTTTCTGGTCCTCACCTTGTGCTTTTAGTACCGCAATCTTTAGTTCCGTATTCTGGCCTTCCGCATTTATCATGGCAATCACTCGCTCACTGTCTCTGTGTTTTGCGTGCATTGCCACAATCTCACGCTCTTTGTCTTCACGTTCTGCTTTTAGCATCGCGAGTTCTTGCTCCTTGGTCCTGTGTTCCGTTTTTAGCTTCACGATTTCTCGCTCCATGTCTAGGTGCTCTACATCTCGCGATGCAATCATTCGCTCGTTTTCCTCCCATTTCAATCTTAACATCATGATCTCTTGCTCCATGTCCTGGTGCTTCATGTGCATCATCACAATCTCTTCCTCTTTGTCCTGGTGCTTGGCTTTGAGTATCCCGATATCTTGCTCCTTGAATGCACACTCCGTTTTTAACATCGAAATCTCTCGCTCTTTTGCCAGGTATTCTGTTTGCATCGTCACGATCTCCCGTTCCTTTTCCTGGAGAGTGGCCGATGTCTTTTGCAGCTGTTCATAGGTCTTTCTGCCCCTTTCCACCTCCACCGTCACCTGCAATTGTTGTGTCGTCATCATTCACAGCTTTTGTTCAGTTTGTATTAGATTTCATGACGTACATTACAATTGTACGATTAACTAAGTGCTTACCATCTACTCCTATCACCAATGCATAATCCAACTTCTATCTTACTGACAACACCACCTTTAATTCTCCTCCTAGACCTAACTCCACCTCTCACCGAATCCCTACCCAATTGTTGTGTTCCAATGAACAATTAAATCTGGGCTGGCCTAGTTCACTAACTAGACAAGTGGGCTCTGCCCAGATTCCCGCAGCAGCCTGATCCAGCCAAGCAAAGTGTAGAGCCAACTTTGCCTGGGCTGTGGAGCTCGCTTTCCAACGGGGCCACCCAATCTTAGCCGGGACACTGTCAGAAACAATCATAATATCCCAGGGTAAACAGGAAAGGGACCCACATATCAGTGATGTAGGTCAGCATCAATGCTGGTAGCTTGAGACAGTGTATGCTAACCTAAGCAGACATTTAACCATGTTTAAAATTCAATTATCTTTGGTCGAGGATGAGAGAGAAAGGGGTTTGGGGAGATGAAGAGGGGGTACAAGGTCATGCAGCCACATACCACGGCTGATACTGATTGCTCATTTTACCCATAGCCCTAATTATGGTCCAAGCTCCACCCCTGAATCAATCATCACTCCTAAATGTGTCTTTACCCTTAACTATATCCCCCTTACCATACTGCCATCCCTAACAATATCCATAAGCCTACAACCTACCTCTTGTCCTTGCTGCTACCATAAGATTTCCCATAATTCTGAACCTAGTCCTACCCCTTACAATATCTCAACCCCTAAACTTACCCCTAACACTTATCGCTGTAGCCTTATCCCTAACATTACCCCAAAAGTCAGTGAGCTTGTACTTATAAGAGCAGAACTTAGAGGTCGGGCTTCAACACTGCAACAACGACATCCTCTCTCAGAGATGCATATGTTGAACTTCTTTGACACTGTACATAGCCAACCGTGATAATCGGACGTGCAAAGTTATGCCAAAAGTATAGTCACTTGGACGGCACTGGCCATGGTGAGCGTTTGATATGAACTTTATCTTACCTTAACGGAACTTATATCGTGTCTTAACCAAGGCGCTTTACAAATAATTAACGGTACACATATGAATGTAATGACGGAGATGAGGTGATTGAAATGGATGAGAGAAAGCAATGGGGAAATCTGTGATGCGTAAATTAGGCGAAAGTAGGTGATGATGCATGGATTAAACGAACGGGGAATGAATAAGTCGTATAATGAGAATATTAAGGAGGAACAGTAACGGAGGTGGTTATGAGTGGGAGATTAAGGGGTCATGGGGTGAGCTAGGGGAAATAAGTGAGTTTTGAGGAGCGGAAACTAGTGAGCAAAGGCGAGTGTTTAATGTGGAGCGGAAGTTTGTTCCAGTGAAGGGGGGCGGCAAGAAGAGAAAAAGAGCGAAAGTGTGATTGAGCACAAGGAGGAACACACAAACAGCAAAGATTAAGAACGCAGAGGGCGAGAAGGCACGTAGAAAGATACAAGAGTGGCAAGATACAGTGGGGCAACACCGTGAATGGATTTGTAGACCCAATCATTTGCCATGTCGCTCACCTTTCCCTCTAGACGTATGCCCTCTGCCTTGACCTTGCTTGCCTCCTCCACGGCTGCTGCCAGCATCTCCCTGGCTTCTCCCAGTTGGCGCTCAAGGCCAGCGCTCGTCTCATCCCAGAGGAGCCGCTTGGCCTGGGAGTGGCGGGTGTGGGCGAGTGGGCGGGATTCGGGGAATCGATCGATTCGCTCCGATGGCTCCGTCACATCGCCCTGGCAAGTGAACGCCTCCGCCTCGGCCTCTTGCAGGCGGTCGGCCTCGCGCTCACGCTCCTATGCAGTGGAGTGGAAATTATGTCAGCAGCAACAACAGCAACCACCACCGCATAAGAAGCTACAATTACAGCAACAAAAGCAGCAACATCTGCAGCATGACGGTGTAGTGTGGTGTAATGTGGTGCAGCGTCGTTCATGATGGTGTAGTGTGGCTAATGATTGGTACAAGGTGGTGTCGTCTGGTTCATGATGGTGTGGTCTGGTGGTCTGGTTAATCATGGTTCAGCATGGTTCATGATGGTGCGAGGTGATTCAGGGTGATGCAGGGTGATGCATGTGCCTGTAGCGTGGCAATGAGATGGGCTCGCTCCTCCATGAATGAGAGGTTGAGTCGCTCCAGTTCCTCAGCCAGATGCTCCGATTCTGCACGCGCACTGTTCTCCTGCTCCTCCAGTAGCTGAAGCTGCAGTACAAACATTATCATCAACGTTGCTATCATCATCAGCAGCAGCAACAATATCACCACCATCAGTGGTAGTAACAGCAGCAGCATTAGCTAAAACATCATCTTCTTGGTTCTTTCGGTAAAGTCACGTAGAAGAGAAATAATAAAATAATACAAATAAAACTTTATATAATTACATAATAATCTTATTTTATTATTTCCCTTCTACATGACTTTACCGAAAGAACCAAGAAGATGAATCCCTGCAGTCACGAAAGCTTTAAATCGAAATTTAAAACATTATCATTCTCATGATCATCTTCAACAGCCTCAGCATGAATACAAGCATTATGACACTCGCGCTGCATCCATTCATCACCATCATTAGTATCACATTCATCATGTTCAATGCTCTTATCATTATCATTATGACTCGTAGCAACAGCATCAGCACTGGCATCATCATCATTAGTAGGATCACTGTCAGCACCAACCACAGTCGTCTTCATCATTATATGTATGAAAAGGTCCTCCACCATCACATGCAGTATCACTGCGACCACTGTGATGACCAGCAGCACCAATGGTGCATCGTGGTTGGCATAGGCCCTGGTGCAACAAGATAAATTGGACCACCTGTCGAGATTCCCCTGTCTTGGTAGCCCAGTGCCGAGGCACCTCCAAGCCCGTGGGCCTTGGTGCAGTTACACTGCCTGCACGCGTGATGGCTAGGCCACAAAGCTGCACTGGCAGCACCACTTCCACCATCAGGCTCTGTCGGGCACCTTGGTTGTTTTCAACGCCAGCTGCTTGTTGCAGTCGTCAATGGCCACCCGCAGCTCGGAGCACTCTGCCTCGCTGGCGCTCCTCTTCACCGCCGCTTCCTGCAGCTACACACGGTGGCAGCAACAACATCGATCGCATCATCAGCACCACCAGCTACAGCTTCACCAGCAGCAATATAAGCAGCCGCAGTACCATCAGCAGCATCAACCATATCAATGCCACAAACATCACTGGCAGCAACATCACTGGTAGTAATATCACCAAAATCATGAACGCCAGTGTAACAATCAACAGCAGGACCATCACTCGCTCTGAGTTCCAAATGAATATTTATTCATCTCGTGAGGTGATGCCGACATCATAAATGGAATGTAATTGTGCATAAAAACAAGCATCTCATCCTTCACACAGGGAAGCACACAAACTCAATCACAAAACAACTTTCAAACTAAAACCAGCAAAAAATAAGGAGCCAGCCTGCGTGATTCTAAAGTGTCACGAAGCAAAGTTATGCAGGGGTAATGAATGCAGCTCACGTGCAGTAGTGAGATGGTTTGTTGCTTTGCGAGACGGTTAGACGGTGACGGCCAATGATGATGATAGGGATGATGTCATTTTTGATACCGCTGATCTCACTATTACCTGCATCTCGGCTGTACTCAACTTGGCGGAGAGCGTGGAGAGGGCGGTGACTGCCTCGGCGAGCGAAGCCTCCGTGGCCTGAAACCGAGCCGCATGGGCAGACTGAGAGTTCAGGGCACGTTCCTTCTCCTGCAGGGCCCCCTCAAGGCGAGCGTTCTCCTCCACCAGGCTGGGGTGTGCAAAATGCCAGCAAGGAATGGGCAAGTGAGCGACAGCAGACAAGATGAACGAAGGATCACAGACAAGAGATATTGTGGTCAATGCAAACATGACTCCTTGTAAAAAAGGTGTCAGTTTTGTTGCCAGATAAAAGGGTAAAAAAACAATTATCACAGACAAGAGACTCGAAGGCAGGGAGGAACAGTAACAGGTATAAGAGGTGAATAAGCAAAACAGAAGCGGGGTATAAAAGTGGAACAAAAGTAGAGGAATCGACGAGCAGAAAGCAGCATCGAACAAAGGCAGGACAGGAGGAATCAGCCCAATATGATGGTAGGTGTCAAACAGGGCAGACAGCAAGCAATCCAGAGAGAAATACATCTTTCCAGCACACACACATGCATAACCTTTAACAGTATTGGGGGCAAGTACTGTTATAGAGCACCTATTAGGCCGGTACAGCCCACAAGGGGATGGTGAGATCAGCTCCAAATGTGATTCAGTGTGCTATTCACTACGCAGAAACTTCCCCGAGCACACGCACAAACACGCACTCACACCAAGTCGCAAGCACTCATGTACACATACACACAAAGCGAATGCAGTTAATGAGTACCTATTAAGGCAGACTGTTACCACACTGGCTACACACACAGAAAAGGATCACGTGCTGGGGAGCATGTGTGCGTACACTGAGATGCGGTCGCACAGGTTGCTCATGGCGGAGTGGTGGCTCTCTTCGTCTTGGCTCTTCTCGTTCTGCAGCTGGCTCAGCTGGCTCTTCAAACGCTCGACCTCCGCCTGGGCCGAAAAACCGTCGTGATACGGCACAGCACATCAAGACAAAGACATGACTGCAATTAGGAACTGATCGATCATGCACTTAGCCACCGATGGCTTGGTGTTGTTTGTTGATGACTTTGATGTCAGCTGATGGCTGTGATATTTGTTGATGGCCGTGGGATATTTTTTGTACGACTGCTGGTCCACTGTGTGATGTCTGCTGGTGACTGTGTGATGTTAGCTGATGGCTGCATGTTTACTGATGGCTGTTCTTTGCGCAGACACTGGTGGATGAACGGGGCGTGTGGTCGAATGGAGGGGTGGAGACGGAGGCGGTGTCGAGCACCTGCAGTCCGTTGGTACGGACTTGTAGACTTTGCCGTGTGTCCATCTCCTCGAGCTGCTCCTCCAGCTCCTGGATCTGCTGCTGGAGTTGGTTCCTCTCCAGCTCAAGGTCTCCCACCACGGAGCGAAGACCTGGGAAGTGGTGCCACTCAGCATTAATGTTGCAACATGCTGTGAGCCAGCATCAATTACATCCACTGTGAAGTTCGCGTGATTGTGGGTTCTGGTGGGTTATTAAGCAGGCCGTACCGGGTATTGTTTTTAAGCAAAGACAGGGGAGGCAGCAAACACAAGCATTAATCACGGATTTGTTTAAATCGGCATAAAGTCATTTTAAAGAGAACCACACAATTTCAAGTCAATCTGATTTATGGCAACTTGTGGTTTTTGTCTTGCATTACTATGAATTTTCAAATTGTGTCTTAATCCATCAATGTGAAGTTTGAGGAGCGAGATCTTTTTTTTCACTCAACGAAATCCATTCTGTAACTCCCTTCCTGAACAACGTTGTTTTTGGTTTTAAGAATTTCAGGATTATATGCCAGTCTTGTGAAAAAGATCTTGGCCTATAGAAAGTAACTCATAGATATGAGGCATCAAATGCTATATACACAAGATCAGCAAAGGCCAAAGACTTTCATCTCAATAGTAAACATTTCTTGAAGCTAATAATCTGGTGATTTCACCCAATAATAAAATATACTACCTGTCAAAGTCATTAAGCCACACGGCATCATGAGATAATACACACAATGCTGTGTGGCCTAAACCTTTTTTTTTCTTTAATGGCCAATCCATACCTTGCAAGAGCAACACATTGGTCAACTGTCCACTCACTGTGTCCACTGATATGTGGTATGTTTTGGCCTTGCAAACTATTATGTATTTTGTTTTTTCCCGTGGCTGGTGCGGATGTTGGTTTTGATTCAGATTTTTTTTCAGGTTTCAACCAATGATCTGACACCACAATGGCAAACGTATGTAATAATAAAACCGATGGGATATAAATGAAAGCACTTCTAAAATATCACAAGTAAATGAAGCCACACATACCTCGAACAGCGGAGGTGTCACACATCAAGGGGTATTCAGGACTGGGCACATGCCCCTGGGAGGGAATGGACACTGGAAATGTATGCAAAACAAACTTCAACATGAGGGCAAGGCACAGGCAAGACAAGACACAAGGCACAGAAAGAGCAAAGCAGGGCAAGGTTGGGACAGGGCAAGGCAAAGTTGGACAATACAGGGTAGGCAGGAGGTGATACAATGAGCATGGTTGTAGCGATCGTCTATGCTTGACCACATACACAGTCGTGACCGAGCGACAGAAACACTAATAATTTTCTAGAGGAGCTAAAAAGCCGCTAACTTGGCATGAATGCAGAATCTCCCTAAAAATGTATTTTAAAAAATCGGGGTGCAGAGATTAAGCTCATGTAATTGAACCAAAGCTTATCAAAGATTGTATCTGCATCTTTTCAAGGATGCAACATCGAAACGTGAAAGCAGACTTTTAAAGATTTACTTTTTTAAATTTCAGTGATGAGTACGAAGGCTAAAGTTGACAATAAGCAGACAAAAACTGCTGCTGGTTTTGAGCATTAAATAAGGCATTTTTTTACGTAGCATAAATCTTAAAGGTATCAATTTCCAAACTTCAGCCATTGTACCCAACTATGACATAGCTTACTATATTTACCAATTGCCACATGCATGCAATGTGCAATAACTTAATGGAAGATGCAACACAAAATAACAAACAGCTCTTATCTTGTATCTAGGCTTTGAGTTTGCAGTTGACCGACATGAGTTCTAAGCTTTATGAGAAAGACTGTCAATTCACAGTTATGCACTCCCTCATATCATTGCAGATATGTCACTGTACTGTCTTATAAAAACAGATACGAATAATATGAGTCACATCACAGGCGTTCAATAAAGATGTCCCAGACAATCATTTGTCAGACAGCCTAGGATACAAATGCATGTGAATAGTATAGATGGGCAAAACATAGGGTAGAGCCATGATGAGGTGCAATGGCTGAAGTATTGGAATCCCCGTGCTAATACAGTTGAATTCCATTCACTCAGCATGGTATAATGGGAAAAACTTACAATGCCATGCAAGTCCAAATATGAGGCACGTGTGTGTACATGTGAGTGCGCATTTGTGTTTGTGTGTGCACATGCGAGTGTGCACGTGTGTGTGTAAAGGTGAGTAATTAAGACACCTGTTCCACCGTGGAAACATTTAGTAAAATATAGTGCAGCATTCTATGGAACTCCTGGAACAATGTTTTCCAGGAGCATTTCTTTAAGTATGAAATCTTGCACTGTTGTTGACTTCTGCCAAGTGTGGCCCATTAACGAATGGGTTTCCGGGAGTTAACGGAAAAAGCCCTCTACAACACCGTGGAGCATTTTCAGAGCAGAACAGTACACATTTTCTACAATATTACACTGGTTACTATACACACGTAAGGACCTTTTCTCAATCCACTCCTGCATGAGGACCTCCCCCACACAGTGCAGGTAATGGGGGCTATTTGACCATGGTTTACGTCATTCGTCAGTGTGGGTTAGCAAAGACATGGTGTCATCGCAGTACAATGGATTATACTGCCCTGCCCTCTGCCGCCGACCATATTCCCTGCAGCTATGACAACTTATTTTGGCAGTGTCATCTATCCAAGAAATATCCAGGTTTAACCGTGGTGAGCTTCAGAGATTTTACAAGACTGGGTATATTCAATGTGATTTGGTCATTGGCCCATTGAAGTCAGTTTGGTATACATTTTGTACAATGGTATGATGGTGGCTTTACACACCCTATTAAAATTCAAAGGCATCACAAGTTTAATGTGAAGGAAGCACTGTCCCAAACAGATGTTACCTGCATGATCCACACTGTAATCATCCCACAGGTCAGCCAAACTCTCGCCCTCTCCCAGAGGAGACGCTTTCTTGGACTGCAAACTTCTTGCTTCACGTGTTGCAGCCTGGAATTACAGCAGTGGAATTGTGGAAATTGAGAAATGTGGGAAGTGTTCGAAAATGGAAATTCTAAGATTCTACAAATATGTATGTTGAACGTCTTTCGCACCGTACGTAGCCAACCGTGCTAATTAGAGGTTCAGGGTGGGAAGGCCAACAAAAGATGATTGTGGTAAATGTTGAGCAATATGATTATGGTGATCACGATGGCAATGTCGATGATGGCGACTGCTAGCATTGATGCTGATCATGACGGTGATAACAAAAATGAAAAAGTTTATTATGGCGGCTACGCTGATTCTTGTTCTGATAGTGATACGAATGCTTTACCTGCTGCAGCTACTGATAATCTAGACAATGATGCGTGATAGTGATTATGGCAGATAAAACTGATATAGTTATGAATACGATGGCAGGATCGGTGATGCTTATAACAGTGATTGTGATGATGGAGTGGAAGATAGTGCCAATGTTGACACTGCTCTTGTTGCTGCAAATGATGCTGCTGATGAGAATGATGAAAACCGTGACGACCATCATGATGACGATGTAGAAGATAATAAGAACCCAACCTCGTCATCGGTGTCACTCACAAGTCTGCCATCATTGGCTAGCTGCCCTCCAGGCTCATCTTCTGCCCTCAGGAGGCTGCGAGGGGCTTGTCCTTTGCCCGCCCCAGATGCTCCCCCAACAAAGGATGGATGCTCAGAGTACCCCGGAAACAGCCAGTCATCTTCAATCAGTCCTGTGTGGCGGGTGAATAGCGAAGCTCATCATCAACATTAAAAGGCCCCAACTGTTGTCAAATATGAACCACCAAAAGGAAGTGCAAGAGGAAGTGTGGGGGGGGGGAGGGGGAGCCAGGTTGCCCTTCAATCGCAGACTCCATTCATCTGCTTGTAGGGTGCCATGCCCTTCAACGAGACACACAACCATCCATCCTTATTCTCACAATAAACGTGTTGCATCACTTGCAGTGAGAATCAATTAAAGTAAAACCCCTCAAATCTAAATTAACTGGAGGGAGAGCTTTACCGGTTAAAGGGGGAAAATATCCGGCCTACACCAAAAAAAGATGACGCGTAATTATTAACCATAAATTATATTTATATGTAATCAACACCTAACACATTTAATTAAAATACGATTATTAATCACAGAAAACTTAATATATTTACTCTTCAATTACACTTCAAAAATCACGATGTGGACTGTACAGTTTAATCAATCACTTACGATCATAATCCACCACGACCCACAAGGCTGATCGTTAAACATAACACATCTACGCTGATTCTCAATGGCTTGAAGGGTTTGTTTTGGTAATATTTGCATGTGATTTGCATGAATTATAAATAGTTGGTACTCACAAAGTAAATTTTATGCACTTAACATCACAAAATATGAATTATATAATTGCATATAGAATTAATTCCTCCACCCAGTTTTTGCAATGAATCCCAGAGGTCACCTTTAAAAAAAATACATAACAAAATGGCTGTGATGACAAGTAATTGTTTCTTTGAACGTCGAGATAATGAACAACAGACTAATGTTGCCACCACACAGGACTAATGTTATGCCAATTCGATTAAAAAACACTTAACAATGCATCTAAAAGCCGCATTTTACACACGAGTTGAAGGTGCCATACCTGTTTGGAAGACCAACAAATCATGAATTGTGGTAGTCCAGCTTAGAAAAGTTGTGTAATAAGGCTGATGTAAGGAAATCAAACCATCGCATGACTAATCTTGACCTTGGCCAAGAGATACCATTGAGATAGCAAGCCTCGCAGGCAGATGGAAGCGTACCCTCTCTCTCTTCCATGGTTCCACTGACCACCGAGTCCTGCGAGATGACACGATGGACATCCTTCTCGCCATCCTGGTGCCACCACAGGAAACCAAAATGATTAAATTAGTAGGCTGGCTCAGGAAGATTATAACACGTCAAAGATACTGAGCTGGTACCAATTGTAATATGAGGATATATCCGGCTCACTGACGTATCACAACTCGTCATCGTGATTGGCTCTGCCGGTCCTGGTTTACAGCCAATGGGGGGAAGCCTGGGGGCATGGCCCTGACGTGACGGAAAGGTGACAGCTATAAGGATTGGTTCTGCTGGCTTGGCCACAGCCAATGGGGAGATGAGTCAGGGGCGTGGTACCGGGAGATGACGAGGGGGCCTGGAAGATTCCATGCAGGCTAACGGGGATTGGCGGAAACGTACCACGTGACCCGGGTATTAAATAGGGGTGGAGACGAACGACAAGTTGCCACGTGGCAGTGCGTCTCTCTCTCTATATCTGTCCTTTCACGCTGCCTAGCAGTAGCGTGGAGTAACTGTAAGATGAGTTGAATAAAAGACGAATTCCAGAAGTCGCCTCAACGAGCTTTATTACACAATGATATACTGGATTCAAATTACGGTTTCAGCCACCTATGATTAAACCAGACTCTTCAGTGTAGTCATTCGATGGGTTCATCCTGGTCGTGATATGCCACTCATTACTCTGTACAACCTATCTTGTGTATTACAATCAACGGATTACCATCTCATGGCTGTCCTGCCAACCCGTCTGGTTGGCACGAGGGATAGACCTATTGTCAAATTAGATTACAGGAACATCTTCCATGAGAACTTCGGTCATGCCGTTGTCTCGTGTTATGTCAGACATAAAAATTTGTGCCACGGTGGCGAGATCTTATCTCCCTCGCCTGGTATGCGCGTAGGGTCATGGGTTCGATCACGACCCCAATGCCTGTATATTTGGATTTTTTATATTCTTCTCCTTATCCGGATCCTCTGGCTTTTCCCTCCAAATTTAGAAACGTGTGTTTTGATTAGTTGGCTGCGATAAATGTTCAGATGATAAGCCACTTTGTTGAGCTATCATTTGTGGTCAAGTCGCTTCTGAAAAAGAGCTCATAGCTCAGTGGGCTTTACCTGGTAGATAAAATAGTTACATTTAAACATTGTTTTAAAATATGGTTCTTTTGTAGAAGTTCTAATATAAGCATGGGGTAATGGGTAAAGTGTGGTTAGTGGTTGGATGCTGCAGGATTGTAGAATGTGGTGAGATGATGTATAACAAGTATATTTTAAAGCTGCTGTGGGGTGGTTCTTTGATTAAAGGAGTGAAATAAACCGCCATGATAATATTTCTTAGAAAATAATATTTCTTGAAAAAATAATACATTTCTTCTTTTTCGCCGAATTCGGCATCTTATTGCTTTAATAATTAGATTTCTGACCCTTACAATACATGGTGAGCTCATACGGATCATGACATTCATGCAAAAAATTACAGTACAAATGAGACAGAAAAAGATAAATACTGTAAAACTGAGACCCAAGAAACGACATTCTTGAATCAAGTCACGGCCCAGAATCAGGATTGGAGGACAAATCGTTAAAATAGGTCATTAAGGCAATGGCAATGATGACCAATTGACCTTGGATAGAAAGCCGAACCTTCGCCGAGTTGTGCAGCACCGCTTGCTCAAGGTCCAACTGCATCACGCGCTCCAGCTGCTCAAACACGTGCAGCCGTGATGCAAGCTCCTCTGTGGAAAAATCACATCGCTGTCAGAAATCGTGCTAAACAGCACAACGGTTACAGGCAAGTCAAGGTTTACAGGCCTGCCCAAGTGGCGGACAGTTGCCTGGCTGTATTCTACTGCTGTGCTGAACAGCACAGATATTATCGGCAGTTCGGCTGGGTGGTTCAGCAGTGCTGCTCTGGTGTATTTCTGCTGAATCTATTGCGGTGCAACGATGCTTACCCATGTTGTACTTATATGTAATGTTGCACTGCTGTGCCATACATTATAATCTGTGTTCTGGGGTGGGGTGGAATAATGGGAAAGTACATATCTTCTCTCTCCATGTCTGTGTGTGCCTGTTCGTGTCTTACTCTGTCATTCTCCCCGTCTGTGTCCTTGCCTCTCTCCATATCTCTGTGTTTGGGTCACTGTGTATTTGTCTCTGTATTAAATATACACACATGCTCTTTGTGGTCCCTTTTTGTGTCTGTTTCTTTGCGTCTTTGTCGTTGTATCTGTTTATGTCTCTGAGTCTATTCCTCTATAGCTTAGGGTAAAGGAAAGGGAGAGCAGGTCTGTTCTCTTTCTATAGACCTCTCCATCACTGTCTCTCACTAATTCTATACTGCGTGTGGCCCTGGGGCTACACTTACCAACCCCCCCCCCTCCCACTGGGCTGTCTCTGTCTCTTGCAGTGTCTTCTGGTCTCTGTCTCCTCTGTGTCTCTGTGTGCGTCTCCGTGTCCCCATGCCTCTCTCCATGTCTGTCTTCATTCAAGCTTTTATGCCTCTGTCTGTATGTCTACTCAATTCCCACGTGGGCTCAGAGCTCCACTTACATGAGGCAGCGGCGAGGCCAGAAGACACATATAACTTTTCCGGGATGCATGAGCTCCACAGGCCACAATTGAACACCCTGGCAGGTGTGTGCATATGCAGGCCACATCCATGTGTGGATGTGACCTTCAGGTCGACTCAGCCTCAAATTAGTACCTTGTACGGTGTGTAAACATCGCCACTTTGGAGACAAAGGCGGCCGGGCATGGTGCTGGCCACCCACCCCCTCGTGTGCCGTGCCGGCCTTCATAGGTGATCGCTAACAGCACTTGCCCCAACAGTCTGTTACAGGCTACACGGGGGATCTTTGACTTATGTGGCTTTATAGGTGCTAACAGCACTTGCTACAACAGTGATAAGGCTGGAGGGGGATCTGTGTTTTTGTCCCGCTACGTGTGCGTATGCGTGTGTGCACTATGCGTGTGTGCACATGCGTGTGTGGATATGCGTGTGTGCACATGCGTGTGCACATGTGTGTGTGCGCATGCGTACGTGCGCATGCGTGTGTGCGCATGCGTGTGTGCACATGTGTGCGTGCGTATGCGTGTGTGCACATGCGTGCGTGCGTATGCGTGTGTGCACATGCGTGCGTGCGTATGCGTGTGTGCACATGCGTGCGTGCACATGCGTGCGTGCACATGCGTGCGTGCACATGCGTGCGTGCACATGCGTGTGTGCACATGTGTGTATGCACATGCGTGCGTGCATGTATACCGTTGTGGGCGTGCACATGCGTGTAGCGGGACAGCTCCTCCTCCAGCTCAGAGACCCGGGACCTCAGAGACGGCAGCTCCACAGCCGAGCCACTCTGCGTGGGAGTGTGGGTGTGAGTGTCGAGATGTGAACAAGTGTCCATATTTCGATTTAAAGCTTTCGTGACCGCAGGGATTCATCTTCTTGGTTCTTTCGGTAAAGTCACGTAGAATGGACCTGTTCTCCACCTGAGGACGGCTGCTTGCGTTGTGGCCCGAAACGTCGTGAGAATTATTTTATTATGTTTTATTTTTATTATTTTATTATTTCCATTCTACGTGACTTTACCGAAAGAACCAAGAAGAAGTGTCCATATGTGAGTTTGTCCAGATTTGAGTTCCTCCGTGAACCTGTGAACCTCCGCAGTGGACGTTAAACATCCCATAATTTCCTCCTTGAGAGTAGGCCATTGTTTTGCTGGCTTCACGATTCGAATATGAAACATTATCCACAAATTACTCAATTGAAATCTGCATAGCAATCATAATCCCCTTAACTATAAAAAAAACTTTTAAAAGCCCTCCTCAAAAAGAGTATTGAGACTCAGTGAGCTTTTCCGGGGTGAACAAGCGTAATAATATAATAAACTAACAACATGCACGTTCTTTGCATGTGACGATCCATCCTTTGCACGTGACCATCCAGATTTTACTTGCCTTCTCTGTATTGTATATTCCAATTCATCTCGATTTCCCAATGTTTCTGTTTCTCTATTCCTCTGTCCTCTCTCCCACCTCTCCATCCCTATATATTCCTTTCCTCCCTATTTCTCTCTCTCACCCATCACCCTCCCTCTCCTTATTGTCACCTCTCCCTTTCCTGTCTCAATCTCTCAGGCCTCTCCCCAACCCTCGCTCCCACTCCTTGTCGCTTTTGCTCGATCTCCTCTTTCCATTTTTCTCTCTCACTTTCCTCGCCAATTCACGCCCTTTCACTTTCTCCACTCTCGTTCTCCTCTCTGTTTCTTCCTCCTCGATCTCCCCCTCACCTCCCTCCTCTATCTCTCTCCGCTATGACTTTTGTGCCAGATACACGGCCGGATTGGAGGGGAAGAAAGACGTCAGCATGACGCACGAACCCGGATCAACGCTGCAGAATGCAAGTGACCGATGTAACGTGGTGAGGTCAATACCGCGCACGCGCACCTGCGTGCCAGTCAGGCAGGAATCTAGACAATAAATCATTTTAAATATTTATGATACTATATATTATAAATGTATATTCCAAATATAATATACAGCATTATAAATATAATATACAGTATTATAAATATGCACAAATACATATGTACCCTGAGGCTGCGTAGCTCATCCTCCAGCTGCCGAATGCGAGTTTTGGACCATGCCTTGGTCTGCAGGAACCGCGCCTCAGACTTGGCAGCCTCCTCCTCCCGTTCCCGCAGCCCAACTGCGGTCCACAAACCAGACACAAGCGCAGCCTTTTAGACTTTCAGCATTCACCCATCCAACTATCCCTTCCATTTATCTAATCATCTTACCATTCGACCATCACTTGAGTAAGTATTACCTTCCAGCTCCTGAATCCTCTGCAACAACGCCTCTTGTTCGAGTGATGGTGGGCACGGCTGTAGCAGCTCGGTGTCTACAACACCTTCGCCTGACGCAGGGTGGCGATCGCAAGAATCATTCGGCTGAATTTGCTGGTCAATGGAGTTTTGGAGGCAGGCAGTGAGCATGAGCTTCTTGGCTTCTTGGTGGGACAGCGAGATGCGTTGCTGCTCAAGGGCACGACGTCCACTCTCCTGCAGGTCCTGCAGGGACACAGTCACAAGCATCACCACCACCGTCACACTTTGCGGCACTCTAACATTCTTTCAAAAAATTGTGGATACTCATGTACAGGAGTAGCTTTGGTGGTGCCTTTATCGTGGTGTTGCAGCCATACCCACTAGTTGTCATGTGTTATGCCGCAATGGATGAATAGCGTGCAATCTGCGCTCTGTTTGCTGTGTTGAAACATGTGCCATCACGGACTCTCTGACGTGAACCTACTATTTATTACTAGTGATGTGCAGATGGCAGTGAAAACATTTTACCGAGCTGTTCATTCTGTCCATTAAACATGTTTGCCCGCTTTTTAGGTTAAATAAAATAAACACGCATTTTGGTTAAGGGGATTTATTTACTTTTGCAAATCTTTGGTATCACTCATCCTTGTCCTACTTTCGCTTTTCAAATTATAAGGGCAATAATGGACATACACTTTTAGTACAATATACAGCAGTAATGACGAAGACTGTGGATGCTCAACCAAGGCATGTAAAGGACTATAGGTGCTACTACGTGGCAGTATGTGCTCATGCATGGCACTGTGGGTACTCGCGCAAGGAATGGGAGCTTACAGACAGAACTTGGGGCACTCACCACGATGGTCGCGTCTCGTTGATCCAACTCGGCCTGCAGGATCTCCACCACGTGTGTGCGCGCCGCCAGCACCTCCTCCTTCTCGTGCAGGTTCTGCTTCAGAGACTTGAGCAGCTGCGCACCGACACAATCACCATCATCATTAACAGCATTACCAATACAATCATTGCCAACACCACCATCATCACCAACAACACCATCCTTACCAACATCATCACTATCATTACCATGATTACCAACACCATCATGAACATAATTAGCATCACCATAATTAATATGATCACTAACACCACCACATCATTAACTTCACTGCCACCACTGCTGCCATCATTAGTTTGTTCCAGCCACATGCCTGCTGGAAGTCTTCGGTAGCGTCGTTCCGTGCCGTTAGGGTGAACACCTCCTGCTGGTGCCTCTCCTCTCGGTGCTGCAGCGCAGTCTCTAATGCCAGCACCTGGACATATCACATTGTGGTGGTGGTGGGAGGGGAAGCCGAGACAGGCAGCTCGGTACAATGGCATCACTTGGCAGAGCACGCTCTGCACAGCGTGCACAGGGCAGCACTTTAGCGTTGTGTAAATGACAAGAAACTCATCAGGCAGAAAAGTGGATATGGGCTTGAAACAAACAAAAAGGGTAATAACACATGCACAAGGTGATGTATAGACCTAGATGCAATTATGATCATTGCACAGCACTTGCTGCACAGAAAGCAGAGCGCTTAGCGCTGTGCTGACACGAGATGAAGGCATCTCCATTCTTCACTTTCACAGTGAGCAGCGCATCACCTTGTGTCAGAGCAAGACCCTAGAAAAGACATCACAAAACTACAGACAGTCCCCGAGTAACGGAAGGGTTAGGTTCCCAAAAACGATCCGTAACCCGAATTTTCCATACCTCGAAAACTAAAAAATGTCCCCTCACGGTGGGACCCAGCACCATCCAGTCTCAGTGGGCCCTGAGGGATCCTCACCTTCTGCCGGAGCTGATTGTTGCTCTGTCGGAGGCCGAGTGGGTCCCCCTCGCTCCCCACGGCAGCAGACATCTCGCCCAGCTGATCCTGCAAGAGCTGAACACGCAAGAGCTAATGTGAGTGTGTGTGTCTGCCTGTGTATGATGTGTTGTGAAAGGATGAGAATGTGTCTACATGTGCTCCAGTGTGTATGCATGTAGATGTGTGTGCATTTGAGTACACATGTGTATGTGTGTGCATTGTGTGTGTATGTAGTGGGGACCGGTCGTGCAATGGTTAGCACGCTTCTCTACAAACCCGACAAGCCTAATTTGATTCCCGCTCACGGCCAACACCAGTGACCATTATCTGAACCGGTTCTGGGCCTCCCGAAGGTCGACTCAGCCTCAAATGAGTACCTGGTGCAGTGTGTAAATATCACCACTAGGGAGACAAAGGTGGCTGGTCATGCTGCTGAACGCCTCCTCCCTTGTGTGCTGTGCTGGCCTACATGGGTGCAGCACTTGCTCCAACAGTCTGTTGAAGGCTAGAAGGGGAAGTTTTGTCTTCATGTGTATATGCATATGACCCGAGTTTGATCCCAGAACTAGCTAGAATCAGTGGCGAGTAATAGGTAAACTCATCTTGGGCATCTCTTAGGTTGATTCCATCTTAAATCTGTACCTCGTGTAGTTTGTAAAAAATGCTCAGGGTTCTGACCTCCGAGCCACCAAAGCCACCTTTGCCTTTGTTTCTGTTGCTGAGCTTGTGCCATGCGTCCTGTGAGCATTTCACTCACCTCAATGATGCACATGCGGCCCTGGATGAGCTCATCCTTTTCACAGAGGGCCTCCTGCAGGGCCTGCACCTGGTGCTGCAGCTCCTGCACTGCACCACTCGCCTTGCTGCCCTGCTCATCCTGACAGTCACCCGGACACGAAGCAGCAGTGATTCTTTTCACTTAATGGTCGGCACAAAGAAACTGATTACCCCACTTGCTGTACTACCATCTCCTGGCCACCTCAGAACGGCAGGCTTGAGTGTTTAGCTCATTTGTATGGTCCATTAATCCTTGCCTCCCAAAAAAATCCTCATTATTGATGATGTATTCAAATGTATGCGAGTGACGTTGTAGTCATGTCACTATAATATATCACCATAACTTTTAAGTCTCTCTTCTCTCTCACACAAAATATTCTAATTGTCGTCGAGATAGCTCAGGAAATACAGCCCAGATACATCTCTATAAAATAAAAGCTATTAAATTTTGGATTGCATCTTTAAAGCAGTCTATCCTTATGCTAATTGCACTATTGCGTTACATCACAAGAAGTCACATCACTCCACCATTGCTCAGGGCTTCTATAACATTGTCAAGATGTATTGCGCGACAATCATCATGAAACAGGCAGCAAGGAAGCAGAGCAATAAGGCAGCAATGAACCAGAAAATGGGTAAGCATAGTAGCAAGGGTGCACCTGCTGCTGTTGTTGTTTCTGTTTCTCCTTGGCCAACGCTGCCTCGAGCTCGGCAACACGATGTCGCAGCAGTAGCAGCTTCCCCCGTTTCACGCTCCCCTGATCGCTCGCCCGGCACTCAGCCTGGCACAGCATAGCACACAACAGCAGGGCAGGGTAAACAATGATCCGGTCAGCGTAGTTGGTGCAGAACAAAACCGATGGATCGGCGAACACCAAAACTTAAAAGTAGCTTACAATAACAGTTACCTCATCTGAGGAATCGCTGCTTTTCAAGCGTCTCGAGTTCTCCATGCGGGCAGACAGCTTGGCTCTTGCCTGCAGCTTCACCTTGGACATCTTAGCCTCGTGGGTCTTTGCCTCCTCCTGCTGGAAAGCGAACACATGTCATGAGGAAATGGAGACATCAGTTTAAATACACAGCTCAAAAAACAAACAGCTCTTATCTTGTAAACACATACCTAGGCTGTGTGTCCCAGACCAACACGAGTTTGAGGCATCGTTAATGAGAAACAAACACTTTAGAATCATAGTTACTCTATTAGAGCAATCTAGTTGTCACTAAATTCTCACTGGAATGTTGTTAAATCAGCAAAGACTCACTACATCTCAAGGCTCTTTTCGCTAGAGTGCTATAATGTAGAAGCAATGTACTTTGACTATTTTTTTCTTCACAGAAAGATGTCAAGCCAGTGTTGGACAGCTAGGGACACATAACCTTGGTACACCTCTACAAGATAAGAGGAACTTGGTTTTCAGATAGAGTAGTGTCTTCTTTAACCTGAGGCTTCCCATACTCCAGCTCTCGTGAATCAACACGGTCCTTTCCACATTATGACTCTTCTCTAATCACATTAAAAATACATCGGGATATACTGCATATGCCTCAGGATTGGTAAACAAATCTCATATTAATCTAGCTCTTAAGCTTATGAATATCTCATATGGTGAATTACCAGCTCAAATTCAGATCTCCAAATGGCAAGTGCAGCATGTACCAAATTAAGATCCCCCATCTTAATGTTAATTAAGGTTGTTACGTCATTATTGATAAATGGATACTTGATTTTAGACTTGAATACAGTGCAATGTTAGTAACAAATGTAGAGATTGGAAAGCGAGATCATTCAAACTACATGGTGCGTTTGTATGCGATTGATCAGTGGCCAGTCACCGTGTGGTAGACTCAGAAATAAAAGACAAAGACACACTGAGTATTTTTAATATTATGTTTCTATCCTTATTATAACCCATAAACAATCCATAACTGATTGAAAGCCTCCCCAAACGGTCACATATATATATCATGATCCTGTGATGGTACAATCCATCTTGAACCTGCACATGGGATTATATTATTTATTTCAATGGACATCATCTTAGAAAGCGATCAATTCCTTCGCTACTCCATCATAATTCTCAACCACTGGCCATCATCCCCCCTTCTAGTCACATGTCCTGTGCCCAAGCCCACTTTATTCAAGTCATTATGTCTTTAAGCCTGCATATTTCTCTAACCCATGTGTTCCTATTTCTCAGAGTGTAATCACAAGGATACCATCTCTCCATGCTTCTTCATGCACTTATTAGTTTTAGTTCCATTTGTTTACGTGAAGTCAACGTGTTTGTTTCTGATCAAAATGTCATAACGGATAGTACATATTAAAAGTTTCTTCTTGAGAAACAACGGCTTGCCGTTTTTGTTTATGAAGTTAGAATTTCCAAAACCGTTCACACCTGCTCTCATCTACTTCTTTATGTCATCATGTTGATTCCAGTCCACTTTCACTAGCTGTCCCAGATATACAAATTATGCTGTATTTTCCAATTGGATCGCTCCAACAAAAATCGCCAGTTTTTGCAAACTTGTACCTCAGTTTCCTTTTTGCTGAAATAAATCCGGCAAGCCAATCTTTTTTTACAAGCTATTAACACTACCAAATTAATATTCACGATCCTAATTTGAATTCGTTTTAGCTACACAACATAGGACACGTACACACACATATAAGTACAAGGTCTTTATATAAATTTGAATTGGCTTTCTCTTTGTCAAGTGAGATGTGCATTTCACAAATGCAAGGTGGACCATGGTGGGTCACAAGCACTGTCGTTTGTAAAACCCTGTTTAACGGATCAGCACTGGGAGTCTACCATAATCGAGAGGCAGGCGTACCTGCAACTGTGTCTCTTTCTGCTGCAGAAGAGACTCCCTCTCCTGCACTGCAGCCCTGAGCTGAGAAACCAGCAGATCGCTTTGCAGAAGACGATCAGCGAATAGATCCCCGTTGACCCTCTCAATAGATTCCATCTCGGCATGGTTCACCAATACAACCTCCATAGTGCTGGGTGACAGGTGTCCTGCCAGATAGAGAAACACCAACCTTTTCTGGTTCTGGGTGAGAAAGTTTCGAATAATTATGTCAATGTCCATAGAAAAAAAAAGGTTGTGTGCTCCAGTGATAAATGAATATTTACATTCAAACACATGTAGATTGAGTGACTGCATATTTTCAGATTAACATACTCCATTAGAATGTATATTATTACATTAACCCCCTCTGATCTTCGCACATGATAGACACACAGTGATGAATTCATCTTAGTTTATTCAAGACCGGAAAAAGGATGACTTCTTAACAATTCTGGCAAATCGCCTGATGAAGCTGGTGGTAATCACCAGTGAAACGTCGGATTCAAATTGTACATGTCGTGGGTATACTCTCCAACAGTGTTGCACTAAAGTCGTAACTAATTGGCACGTTTTATGATAAACCTTACTAATTGGCTGTCGGGTGATGGTGGGTTAACGAAACATTCATATTTACGTTATCTAACCCAAAAACCTTTATTATGAATTACTGATGTAAGTTGTTATGTTCTAAAATGGCTAATAAGTGTGGCACTAATGTTGTCGAGTGTATGTTTAGAATAAGACGGTTTGGTTTCATTGTCTATGTGCAAAAGCCCACAACTGTATTCGCACATACTTGAGCTACTTCCAGTTACTGCTCAGGTGCCAGGGTAGAGAGCACTGCCATCAGCCAAGCTCGCCACGGAGCCCAATCATTTCTGCGGTGCATTAACAACGTGTAGGGTTCAAGCCAAAGACAATTTTTTTAATACAATTGCCTTCATCACTAGGTAAGAATCCAATGAGATCAATGGATTAATTTTTTAAAAGGGAAATTTGGGTTTAAAGAAGAAACTACAAAACAGCTGACGCCATTTGAAAATGTGCAAACCATTAATTCAGAAATAATATGGCTTAGAGTAGTGGTACCAACATTTTACTTACCAATGTAGACACCACATATTTAACAAGTGTTTTGAACATAAAAATTGTTTAATACTATATCAAAGAAAAGCCATGCGTACACTACACAGTAAATTCACACAGGCAGGTAAAAAACCTCCTTGCTGTACCACCATCTCCTGGCCACTTTGTAGCCTAGGAGGTTGTGGGAGCCTACCATCAAATGTAGATCGATGCGAGCCTCGAAAATTAGCAACACATAAGGGCATCACGATAGGGAAACAAAATGCACTTTGTAGAAACTTCTTAAAAGGTATTATTAATAAACTAAAATGCGTTAACAATAATGCGATCAAAACATAGTTTTCTATTTAACTAAGTGCAGGACAGTTATAAGCCTCTTTTCCAAAGGGGACATGTAGCAGACCTGTAAAAAGCATAACATACAAGAAGATATCCGATTATTTTAAGCATAGAGCGGTGGGAGTCTTGAAAAGGCTGCCCACACATGTCGTGGAAGCAAACGTACAGGTACTCGCCAATACTCGCATCGATCTGCTAACAATCGAACGAGATCGATAGACCAAAAAGCCCTCGTTTGTATTGTTCCGTCCTTAAATGACACACAGCAATGCAACGTCTTAGAACCATAATAGTAATTGAAATGCGATTTTTTTTTCACATCCCAAAGAGAATGTAAGGTACTCACATTTGTACAGCCCTGAGCCAAAGGTGACCATTCCACATTCCCGTTACAGGGCAAGTACAAACACTCCTTCGCGCGACCATTATCAACATTCAACGAATTTTAAACGTAACGTTATTAAACCAAAATGAAAACGCATTATGACAACCCAACTGGACGTTTACGAGTGAGTAAAACGGTACTTTAAAATGTTTTAATCAATCGATTAAACGTCGATGCAGACTTCAACACAGTACGAAACCCCCACCCGAGTCGCCTAGATTTCGTAGCCGAAGCCTACGCGAAGGCCGCCCGCAACGGTCGCGAACCCAAGCGGGGTGCGGGCGAAGGGCGCTAAGTTTTATAATCCGAATGTTGCAATTTGCAGAGACGACAACAACAAGCAGCGGCGTCGGCAACCTTCATTTATCCATCCGTTCTAAAGCGACGCAACATATTTAGCGTCCGTATTTGACACGCGAATCCGGAGCGCGAAAGCCGAGGCCGCTTTCAACTGCGGCAGCCAGCCGGTTGCTTTTGAGAATCACAAACGCCCCCAGAGGCAGTTGCGGGTTCGTAATCCACGACGTGAGCGCGGGGATCCGTGCCCACAGGGCGTTTGTTGCACGTAAAGATGAGCGCACATCCACACAGACACACCCACACGGGGGGGGGGGGGGGTAACCCCCCCCACCTCTCCCCTGTGCCCCCCCCCCCCCCACAGGTAACAACGACGAAGATCCCCCCCCTACCCCCCCACCACGTGTCGTCTGAACAGACTGCTGGGGCAAGTTCAAGTTCATGTATTAGGTATAGCCCTGTGAGCCATTCAGCTCTTGAATCGGGTGCAACCGCAACAAACACAAAACAAAAACATGAACAAAAAACATCTTAAAGTGAATATGTGACTAAGTGCAAACAGAAAATTCAAGAAAAGACAGCAAAAATATTGCAGAAAAAACACCGTACACCAACGCTGTGTGCAAAAATCTCAGTGGGATGCAAGTCAAACAACAACAACACACAAGACAGCTTAGATTAAGGCCATCAGTCTAACTCTGTACTACAACAAACAAACATGGCTAAACCAATACACTTTTCGAAATCACCAAAATAAAGCCATGAAAGCAATCATAGGAACTGTGCTGTTAGCGAGCACCTGTGAAGGCAGGCACGGCACACGAGGGCGTGGGGGGCCAACACCACGCCCGACCACCTTTGTCTCCCCACCACGTGTAGTGTGAACAGAAGTGCTGTTAGCGAGCACCTGTGAAGGCAGGCACGGCACACGAGGGCGTGGGGGGCCAACACCACGCCCGACCACCTTTGTCTCCCCACCCCCACCTCCCTCCCCCGGTGGCAATGTTTCCACTTCGTACCAGGTATTTATTTGAGGCTGAGTCGAGCTAGGGGAGGCACAGGGACTGGTTCTGATAATCGTCACCACCGGTGTTGGTTCGTAGCGCTAACCGCTACACTACCGCTCCCCCACATACACGTGAGCGCACAGTCACACACTGTGCATACACACACACAGTCACACACTGTGCATATATACACACACACAGTCACACACTGTGCATATACACACACACACAGTCACACACTGTGCATATACACACACACACAGTCACACACTGTGCATATACACACACACACAGTCACACACTGTGCATATACACACACACACAGTCACACACTGTGCATATACACACACACAGTCACACACTGTGCATATACACACACACACAGTCACACACTGTGCATATACACACACACACAGTCACACACTGTGCATACACACACACAGTCACACACTGTGCATATACACACACACAGTCACACACTGTGCATATACACACACACACACAGTCACACACTGTGCATATACACACACACAGTCACACACTGTGCATATACACACACACACAGTCACACACTGTGCATATACACACACACAGTCACACACTGTGCATATACACACACACACACAGTCACACACTGTGCATATACACACACACACAGTCACACACTGTGCATACACACACACACAGTCACACACTGTGCATACACACACACAGTCACACACTGTGCATACACACACACACAGTCACACACTGTGCATACACACACACACAGTCACACACTGTGCATATACACACACACACAGTCACACACTGTGCATATACACACACACACAGTCACACACTGTGCATATATACACACACACAGTCACACACTGTGCATACACACACACACAGTCACACACTGTGCATACACACACACACAGTCACACACTGTGCATATACACACACACACAGTCACACACTGTGCATATACACACACACAGTCACACACTGTGCATATACACACACAGTCACACACTGTGCATATACACACACACAGTCACACACTGTGCATATACACACACACACAGCGGGGTAAACCCCCACCTGTGCCCACAGGTAACCCTCACGTGTCCAACAAACAATGCCGTGGCCTTTAAAAGGAGAACTTCATTGGTGACGTTTCGGGCAACGGTCCTTCTCCGTAGCGCATGACATTCTAAAGGGCATTGCCTGCAAAACAAGATTTACGTTAATGTGTGCGCTGTGAAGGACTCTTGCCAGAAACGTCGCCTTTTACGAATATATCTGGTTGGCATTTTTAAGGCCACCGTGGTTATTATTCGCGAAATTTTCCACTGCGTTAAAAAACGTTCAACGATTGTTACACACACTGATTAGAGCTGTGCATACCTTTAAACCCCTTATCAGTGCCTACCTTATTACAGACCAATTCAGACCTTATCGATCCTTATACAACTCAACGTTCATCTTACAAAGTCCCATCACAAGGGAGAACACAAACAAAACAGAGATACATTTGTACTTTTTTGTCCGTATTAAAACGGTTGTACGCCGTATGGACCCGAAAACTCAATTCCCCTGTACAAGAATAACGGGGTAAACCGTATGGGTTGACAGGTATGTTGGTGTGTGTGTGTGAGCTAATTCTGCTTGTTGCACAACTTGCCAACTTACAGCATCGCCAAAACAAGTGTGTGTGTGTGTCTAACGTTTAGACGGGCAGACAGGTAAAACAATCGTGCACGTCTAACTCACCTACACGGTATTAAACACATTCCTCCTGCGGAGGGAGCTGCTGGTAGGAACGTTGGATTGCTCGGTCAATGGCCTGCAGGGTCAACGGCGGCGTGGTGTATTCCGCAAATATGCCCGACTGTGAGGGCGGGCACAAGCCGGCGTGAATAGGTTAAACGTTGAGTTTTATAAGGGCACCACGGGGTGACCAGCCCCTCCCCACCCAGCCTCTCCCCACCCTCCCCACCCAGCCACTTCCCCCCCCACCAGCCCCACCCTCCCACCCCCCCACCCAGCCCCACCCCCCACCCAGCCCCACCCACCCCACCCAGCCCCATCATCCCCCACCCCACCCAGCCCCACCCTCCCCACCCAGCCCCTCCCCCACCCTACCCAGCCCCACCCTCCCCACCCAGTCCCTCCCCACCCTCCCCTCCCCTCCCCCACCCTACCCAGCCCCACCCTCCCCACCCAGTCCCTCCCCACCCTCCCCTCCCTCCCCACCCAGCCCCTCCCTGCACGACGGACACAATAATCCCCTGTGGGCTGGTGTAACCAGGAGGTTCCTACCAGTCCAAGTCACACCTGTCCCGTGTGTGTCCACGTGTATCAAACGCCCCCCCCCCACCCCCCACTCTGTGTGATGCTGGATGATCAGCTGTAGGGTTGTTGGCGCGCCGATCAACGTTCCGCCACTGATAACTTGAATAGACTGATAACTTTCATCTAAATTGTCTTGCGGTTGTTATTGTTGGACTTGCATCCCACTGGGATTTTTGCACACAGCATTGATATACGGTGCTTTTTCTGGAAGACTTTGCTGTTTTTTTCCCCTGGATTTTTATGTTTGCGCGCAGACACTTTAAGATGTTTCCTTGTTCGTGTTTTTGTTTGTTGCGGTTGCACCCGATTCAAGAGCCGCATGGCTCACAGGGCTTTTACCTAATAAATAAAACTGAAACTGAACCACCACGGGGACTAATAAAAGCACGTGGGGACGACGTTCACTGCCTCTGTGCCCACAGGACGGGCTGGCTGACCAGGGCAGCCACATCCGTGGGGGGATATCAAGGAAATTACAATTACATTTTTTTTAAAAATAGAAAATAACGTAACAGCGAACTAATTGTATCTGAAACGAAACATACAAAACCAATGCAAAATGTCAGGACACAAAAATGGGCTACATTTTTTAGCCGACTTGCACCTGTAACGGGCTTTCTCTGTCGTCTCTTGTGCTCGTGTATTTTAACATTTGCGAAGTAATTTTTTTGTATGAGAATGTTTTAGCTTACGGCCGTTAAAGACCTCGTTAGTTGTGCAATTTTTAAATCCTTTATATTAAGTTCGCTTGCTTGCTTGCGTGCTTGCTTGCTTGCTTACAACCGTGCAAATCTTTCGGTCGTTTTTTAACCCACTTCCCGTGATCCAATCGAGCTGACATTTTGCACACAGACTCGTTGTGCGAGACAATTAATGTTCGTGAAAATGTTTTTCCAAAATTTTACACTGTTTAGGGAAAACAAATTAAATATTTAATTACCAATTGTTTAATACTGCAGACAATCATCTGACCCATAGGTGGCAGCCATCTCAAGCCAGAGGACGAGATGACTCTAGCCGCCACGCATATAAAGGATTTAGAGTGAAAAACTTTGTTTTTACGGGTTATACGTATTCACGTGTTGGTTACTGTTGTACTCACGCACCACGGATCTCGCTTGTAAAATAGCCGTGAAACTGGCTAAACGGGATTTGTGTGCCAAATAAATTAAACTGATGACGCGTTAGATCGAGTTTAGTTGTGTTTAGTTTATTAACGTGTCATCGGCTAATTAATGAGTGTTTAGAAATGGGAGGAAACCGTGGCACCCTCAGATATCTAAGATACAGTGTTTAAGCAACCAATACAGTCCCAATTAAACCAAGCGGAGACCCTTAGAAACCAATACAGAGAAACAAGAAACAAATACAAAAAACTCAATCCATGAGCCAAAAATAACACAAAACAGAACCCTATAAAATATAATAACGCTAAAATATTAATAAGAGACATGTACGATAGATATAAGGCACATTAATACCCATCAAATAAACTAAGACTGAATCCCAACAAAATATGAGATCACCCCCACCACCACACACTGCCCCCCCACACCCCCCTCCCCCCACATTACCCCTCCCCCCCACACTATCCCCCTCCCTCACCCCTCCCTCCCACACTAGCCCCTCCCCCCTTCATTGCCCCCCTCCTCCCCACACCCCCCCCCCCCACACTACCCCCCCCCCACACTACCCCCCCACACTACCCCCTAACACTACTCCCACCCACACTACCCCCCCCACACTACCCCACTCCCCCCCACACTACCCCCCCACACTACCCCACTCCCCCCACACTATCCCCCACACTACCCCAC